TCACTCGAATTTGAAATCATGCAACTTCACTGTAAGTTACACAATATCAAAGTCGGGCTTGATGTGAACGGAGGGTAAACAGACATACAGTCCATTCTTGCATCTGTTTTTGCACTGGTAAAGGATGTAAAAACCGTATGCAAACTGATGAAAAAACAGATATGGACTGATCCATTTTTTTCTTTGAAAAAACCTGATTGAACTAATAACAAAAATTATTATGTGTGTGAAAGGACCCAAAGACTAGCAGTGATAGGCAGCAGTGCCTAATTACAGATATACAGCTATAAGGCTATGGGCACAGGAGTTCCTAGGCACCCTCACATATAAGGCACTGTTCTGAGTAATTCCAGATAAAAAAAAATTTTTTTACATTTTTCAGGATACTACTTAGGAACAATTAGCATTTCTAGTTATTCCCTATGACATAGCCTTTCTAGGTCATAGCGAATCTTCATTCTTTGTTCAGTAATCTCCGTAAACATTTACGTACTTGTCCTTGCCCTTAACTTAATTATAGTAGTTTTTGAAAATCATGTAATTTTGGAAGAGTAACCCTTGAAATGACAAGTGGTTATAGCTTTAAATAGAACAATGATTGTTACAATGTTTTATGACAAATACTAAAATATTGTAATTACTGTAAACTGTACCCTAAGTCTAAAGTCATACCATGCAGCTGCAATGGAGCGCATGCAATTTTCCACACTTTCCCGAATGCAGGGCAGCCTATTCATTTCAATGAAAATGTGCATCCCGGATCATTTTGCAAAATTGCATTGCGCAGAGAAGAATGGTGCTACTGTGCATCTACTAGGCAGCACGTTTTTTGTGCGTGTTGGAAAGCATGCAATTTTGCATGCATTCTCAACAAACACAGAGTGTGAATCTCCGTAAACCTAACCTTCGCCTTAACCCCATGATAGGGACATAATTCAGGCTCCAGCCTCACCATTTACATTTTTAAATGTTTCTGTGCTTTATCTTCTTCTCACTATAGAAATTCTACCTTCTTTTGTTTTCTTTCTCTGAACTCCACACAGAAGGAGGGCAGATCTGCCCATCAGCTGATGTTTGCTAGGTAATTGCCTGGCATCATCCAACCCTCAGTATAGGGGAGACATGCAGGATCTTTTAGACCTTGGATGTCTCAAAAAAGAGAACCTGTCACCAAAAATCATCACATAGGGGACTTCGTGTCCCCTATGTGATAAAAAAAAAAAAAGTTAAGTGAAATTTTTTTTTATATTTTTAAAAAATTAAAGTTACCCCCAAGCATTTAACTCCCCCAACCCCCACATATGTACAAAACGTACAAATGTAAAAGCGCTGGGGTGCCTACACATGAAAATGACAATTGCAATACATGTTACATATCGCCGTGCATGCCAGAGCGAAAGCAATAATTCTAGCACCAGACCTCCTCCATAACGCTAAACCGATGACCTATAAGAAGCTTTAAAAGCGTCACCTATCGCAAATATAGGGTTACTAAAGTTTGTTGCCATTTCATGAGCGCGTACAAATTTAAGGTTTGACGTGTTAGATATCTTTTTACTGGATGCAACCTTGTCTTTTTATATTTTACAAAAAAATGTGATAATTTATTGCTTTTTGTGCCCTAAAATTAACTGAAGTGTATTTTTTACAGAAATTTTGCATTTCCTAGACCTTTGTGATAATATCGTGTGAAATAAAAAAAATTGTAACTGCCACTATTTTATTCTCTAGGGTCTCTGCTTTCAGAAAATATATGTTTTGGAGCTTTATGTAATCTTCAGGCCTTAAATTATTTTTTTAACGTGTGCAAAAAATGCAAAAACAGCTTTGGCAGCGAAAGGGATAAAGGATAAGCCCGACACTCACCCCTTTCTTGACGAGCAGCCAATTGGTGCTCATTGTCCTGTGAGGTCTCTCCCCTCCCTGCTAGTCCCTAGGTGCTGTGCTGGAGACAGGCAGGGAGGGGAGGAGGAGAGATACAGTACAGTGTTAAAATTATTACACGTTTAAGTCGCCATAAAGCCTGTTTTGTTTTTAAAAGTCCCAGACATTACTTTAAGCAGATTTAAAGACGGTTTTGGGTAAAAAAAAAAAAAAAAAAATTTTTATCAGGACAAGTAGATTGTCGTGAGGGACAGGTACAGTTAGGTCCATATATATTTGGACACAGGCACAATTTTAGTTTTTTTTCAGGTCTTTACCAAAACATATTCAAGCTATAGTTATATAACAGATATGGGCTGAAAGTGCACACTCTCAGGTTTAATTTGAGGGTATGTACATCCAAATTGGAAGAAGGGTATAGGAATTACAGCTCTTAAGATTAGCCATCCCCCCTTTTTCAAGGGACCAAAAGTAATTGGACAATTGAATCAAAAACTGTTTCATGGCCAGGTGTGGGCTACTCATTTGTTATTTCTTCATCAATTAAGCAGGTAAAAGGACTGCAGTTGATTCTAAGTGTGGTATTTGCATTTGGAATCTATTGCTGTGAACCTACATCATGCGTTCAAAGGATCTGTCCATGCAAGTGAAAAAGGCCATTGTAAGGCTTAAAAAACAAAACAAATCCATCAGAGAGATAGCAGCAACATTAGGAGTGGCCAAATCAACAGTTTAGTACATTCTGAGGAAAGAAGAACGCACTGAGCTCAGCAACATAAAAAGGCATGGACGTCCACGGAAGACAACAGTGGTGGATGATCAGAGGATCCTCTCTATGGTAAAGAAAAACCCATTCACAACATCCAGACAAGTGAAGGACACTCTCCAGGAGGTGGGCGTATCATTGTCAAAGTCTACAATCAAGAGAAGACTTCACAAGAGCATATACAGAGGGTTCACAAGGTATAAACCATTCATAAATCTGAAGAACAGAAAAGCCAGATTAGACTTTGTCAAAAAACATCTAAAAAAGCCAGACCAGTTCTGGAAAAGCATTCTTTGGACGAATGAAACTAAGATTAATCTGTACCAGAATGACAAGAAGAAAAAAGTGTGGAGAAGGCTTGGAACAGCTCATGATCCAAAGCACACAATGTCATCTGTAAAACATGGTGGAGGCAGTGTGATGGCATGGGCATGCATGGCTTCAAGTGGCACTGGGTCATTGGTGTTTATTGATGATGTGACAGAAGATAGAAGCAGCTGGATGAATTCTGCAGTGTTTAGAGGTATACAGTCTGCTCAAATGCAGCAAAGTTGATTGGACGGCGCTTCACAGTACAGATGGACAATGATCCAAAACACACTGCAAAAACAACTCAGGAGCTTTGGAAGGAAAAGAAGTGGAATATTCTGCAATGTCCGAGTCAATCACCTGATCTCAACCCAATTGAGCATGCATTTCACTTGCTGAAGGCAAAACTAAAGGCAGAAAGACCCACAAACAAAGAACAAATGAAAACAGCTGCAGTTAGAGCCTGGAAAAGCATCAGAAATGAGGAAACCCAGTCTTTGGTAATGTCCATGGGTTCCAGACTTTAGGCAGTCATTGCCAGTAAAGGATTCTCAACAAAATATTAAAAATGAACATTTTATTTATGATTATATTCATTTGTCCAATTACATTTGAGCCCCTGAAAATGGAGGGACTGTACAAAAATGGTTGCAGTTCCTAAAATTTGTACTTAATATTTATGTTCAACCCCTTGAATTAAAGCTGAAAGTCTGCACTTCAAATTCATTTGGATTGTTTCGTTTTAATTTATTCTGGTGGCATACAGAGCCAAAAGTATGAAAATTGTGCCTGTGTCCAAATATATATGGACCTAACTGTAGATTGGGACACCGATTTGGTCCCTGGACACAGAGAACAATTGATTTTGTTGTGTCCTTTCAGAATGCGTACAGAAAAACGGATGGCTCTGCACAATGGTGTGAACAAGCCCTTTGTTAGAAGCTTTCCTTAACCTAATATCTTCTTATTAACAGTACTAACATATGTATGAATGAGTTGGATCTTAATAAAATAATTGAGTTATTATATTTATATTTGTTCTTGATTGGGAAAAGTAAGTAATTAGACTTTATATAGTCTGTGTATACATATATGAACATATATCTTGGTTTTCTCTACATTCAAGCAACGTGGTAGTAATTAGCTTTCCCTCCCCCCATCTTTCCCATCTATGTAAGCTAAAGTTACATAGACTCTGGAGAAGTTGACTGGAGGTTTTGTTTTAATAAATCTGTTGGTGTCAATTATCTTTGTGGGACTACAAGTATACCAGCCCATTTTTAGGAAAAGGTGGGGGCTGAAGCTGCTAAAAGAGCAGAACAAAGACAGAGAGACACACTTTGCTAGAAGCCTTGATGCGATACACCACACAGACACACAAACATATACATATATACAATCTTATCAAGAACTTAACTATATTTTTTGGACATTATTTAAACATTCTATATTCCAATATTTTATTTCTAATTTTATGCAACATTATTATTAAATCATCTTTTTGAGTTTATGCAAGAAGTGGAAGGACTTTCTATCTAAACATTTCTCATCAATACAAGTTAATAAAATATCGAGACAATACGATATTTTACACCCTTAACCACTTGCCTACCAGGCACTTATACCCCCTTATTTACCAGGCCAATTTTCAGCTTTCAGCGCTGCCGCACTTTGATTGACAATTGCGCGGTCATGCAACATTGTACCCATATGAAATTTTGATCATTTTTTTCTCACAAATAGAGCTTTCTTTTGGTGGTATTTAATCGCCACTGGGCGCTTTACTTTTTGCGCTATAAATAAAAAAAGTGCAAAAAATTTGAAAAAAAAAAAAGTTTATTTGTTTCTATTTATAAAATTTTTCAAACAGGTATTTTTTCTCCTTCACTGATGTACGTTGATGAGGCAGCACTGATGGGCACTGATAGGCGGCACTGATGGGCAATGATAGGCAGCACTAAAGGGCACCGATAGGCAGTACTAATGAGGTGGCACGGATAGGCAGCACTGATAGACAGCACTAATGAGGTGTCACAGATAGGCAGCACTGATAGGGGCACTGATAGGTGACACTGATGATGGGTTCTGATAGACGGCACTGACTGGCATCACTGCTGGGCACTGAGTGGCACAACCCCTGGGCACTGACTGGTGGCACTGACTGGCAGCACTGGTGGGTGGCACTGGTGGGTGGGCACTGGTGGGTGGCACTGGTGGGGGCACAGGTGGGTGGCACTGGTGGGCACAGGTAGGTGGCACTTCTGGGCACAGGTGTGTGACACTGCAGAGTGGCACAGGTGGGTGCACTGCTGGGCACAGGTGGGTGATCTACTGGGCACAGGTGGGCGGAGCTAGTGGGCACACTGCTGGGCACAGGTGGGCGGAACTTGCGGGTGGTACTGCTGGGCACCGATCATCAGGGCACTGATCATCAGTGCCCTGATGATCGGTGCCGATCCCCGCTCTGACAACTGCCGGTTCTCGGCAGTACTTTCCTCACGATCTGACAGCGTGAGGAAAGTGCAGCCGAGAACCGGCACTTGCATTTCCCTCTGATCAGCGTGTCATTGGACACCGCTGATCACGTGGTAAAAGGCCGCTGTGATTGGCCTTTTACCACATCACGTGATCAGCTGTGTTCGTAGGACACAGCGATCATGGAGATCGCCGGGTGCGCGCCCCCTGGGGAGCGCAGGAGAGCGCGTTCTGGGAGGCCGTCATATGAAGTCCACTCATAACTGGCTGGCCGCAGTGCAGCCGTCATTCGGCTATCTGCGGTCGGCAACTAGTTAAAATATGCACACAGTAAAATTATGCAAACACAATCTCCACTTCCAAACATCAAAGGTTTTTCCCCACAATTTGCACTGATAAGGGCCAAAATGCATGCAAACGTAACAGCTATTTAACATTTTTTTTACTCAACTCATCATACCTCTCATGGTTATAAAATAAAACAAATAAGGTGTGTGTATATTAACAAAGTACTTACAGTGTGGAAATGATCCTCTACAGACTGCTTTATTTAATACTTTGACAAGAAATTTGTGGCAGTTTGTAAAGTCAGATTCCATCTTCACAATAGATTCAGCCCTGGATCAAAAAACATCAGCTATTACAGAAAATCTTTACAACCTGAAACGTTTGTAGCTAGTAGTTTCTTTACCATACAAACCATCCATCTGATGAAATACTCTAAAGCAAGGGTGCTCAGCCTTTTGAAGAGCGGGGGCCACCTAAGTGATTTGGTAACCAGTCGAGAGCCAGAATGAAATGAAATGGCTCAGAATTTTGATTTTTTTTATTTTATTTTGAATAGCATAATGAACATTTTCCTCTTGCAGCTGGCTTTCAGAAGGCGGAAAATGGATTAGACTAGTTTCTGTATATGATGCCCCCCCCCCCATCCAAGTGTAAAATAGAATGTGACAGGGAGGCCACATGGGCCCCCTGGAGCATGAGGCGGGGTCACCACTGTGACCCCTGATGCTACACCAGTGGTTGTGGGAGGGTCTCAACTATGGTATTTTACCACCCCCCAAACTGCAAATGTAAGCGAGCCCTTACTGTCCTGTGCCCCCTATAAAGCTGTTTTCAAACTGATGTGTTTCGGTTTACCGGCACCTCTGGTGCAGTACAGCTCTGAATTTCCCGCAGGTTAGCTGCGCTTTGTCATGGACTTCTATTATATCCTGCAGGTTTGGTGCACTTTCTGAAAGCATAAAAAAAGCGCACCAAACCTGCAGGATATAATAGAAATGTGCGTCCATGGTTTGAGGCTGAAAGCCACATCAGAGGGCTTTCATGGCCCACACACCACAGGTTGAGCTCCCCTGCTCTACATGTTTAAAATAAATTATATTGTAGCAAAATATTACATAAAACTACCTTTTCATACGTGTTTGAAACAGTATTTATTTAGCTCCAGGCATAATTTTACTTCCTCTCCTTTGGTGTCAGTGGGAGGAATTGTGCCACATTATTGGTGTCAATGGGTGGGAAGAATCATGCCCCATTTTTGGTGTAACTGGGAGGAATTGGGCCCCATCATTAGTGTCATTTGGAGGAATTGTGCCCCTTCATTGTGTCGGGGGGGGGAGATTATGCCCAATTGTTGGGGTCAGAGGATGAAATATTGCCCTAAGGGCCAGATAAAAGTAAGCAAAGGGCCACAGTTTGGAGACCACTGTTATAGACTAAAATCTGACCACTGGTTATCTCAGCAATGAGTTTTGGTAGCCCTGTAAAGCTGGATGGTATTACTATACTACCATGTTGCAGCTTTATTTAACACAGCACAGAGAAGTATAACATCTTTATTATTTAAAAAAAAATAAAAATGTACCTTTACAATTACTTAAAAAAAAAAACAAGACATCAATTCATAAATCGTTCATTGTATTTTTAAATGCAACCTATGTGCAAATACATGCATTTGACATGATAATGGTCTTTTGTGATCCCCAGCACTGCACATTGGAAGAGAAAAGGGTAGAACTAGGAGCCAATGACTTGCGCTGTAGTATATGGTCACCAGTCTGTCTGTGGTATATGGTAAAGCTGTGTGAACTCTTAGGACTGGATAGACAGACATACAACACACATCCTTTTGGCAGGTAAACAGCTCTATTTGTGTTTCATCTGTGTATCCATCCGTATGCCTGGAGCTCAGCTCTAAACTGCATTCTAACCTTTATAAACCAGGTAAGACAGAAAATATAGCCTTACTTACTTCCAAGCTCCTAAACCAGCATGCCAGCGATCAGCAAACATTAGAACAACATTCATCACTTTCATTATGGCTTCTTTCACAGAGCTCACCTAAAAAATAAATTTTAATAATTCAGCAATATTTACGGCAGAGTTTGTAAAAAGTTATATACGGTACATATCAAATCAGGTAAACATAGATATGGCTAGTTATTGATTATTCTTCACATATATGGGTTTTATTATGCTGTACTAAAATACCATTTGATATATCTTTGGTGTAGTTTCTTCTTAAAAGCTAAGTTCACCTTCACCTAAGAAAAAAAATAAAATAAATGCACATATTTTTGCAGGAAAAAAATAAATGGATTATTTTTTTCCATAGTGGCCTGAGAAGCATTACATCAGAGATCAGTGGATTAGAAAGACCACTTGCAAAGGCCTAGCCTGTGTGCATTGAGCGCCCCTTGAGGGTTAGGGACTGGTGTGAATGTACAATATACAGTGAAGGAAATAAGTATTTGATCCCCTGCTGATTTTGAATGTTTGCCCACTCACAAAGAAATGATCAGTCTAAAAATCGAATGGTAGGTGTATTGTAACACTGAAAAACTGAATAGCAACAAAAAATTCAAAAGAAATGCTTGTCTAGCAAATTATGCACCGATTTGCATGTTCATGAGGGAAATAAGTATTTGATCCCCTCTCATTCAGCAGGATTTCTGGCTACCGGGTGTCTTTCATACAGGTAACAAGCTGAGATTAGAAGCAGTCTCTTAAAGGGAGTGCTGCTAATCTCATTTTGTTACCTTTATAAAAGACACCTGTTCACAGGAGCAATCAAACAATCAGATTCCAGACTCTCCACCATGGCAAAGACCAAAGAGCTGTCCAAGGATGTCATGGACAAGATTGTAGACCTACACAAGGCTGGACTTGGCTACCAAACTATCGCCAAGCAGCTTGGTGAGAAGGGTGACAACAGTTAGTGCAATCATTCGCAAATGGAAGAAACACAAACCAACTGTCAGTCTCCCTAGATCTGGTGCACCATGCAAGATCTCACCTCATGGAGTGTCAATGATCATGAGAACAGTGAGGAATCATCCCAGAACTACACGTGAGGATCTTGTCAATGATCTCCAGGCATCTGGAACCACAGGCACCAAGAAAACAATTGGTAACACACTATGCCGACAAGGATTGAAATCCTACAGTGCCCGCAAGGTCCCTCTGCTCAAGAAAGCACATGTCCAGGCCTGTCTGAAGTTTGCCACTGAACATCCTGAATGATGCAGAGGAGGACTGGTTGAAAGTGTTGTGGTCAGATGAGACCAAAATCGAGCTTATTGGCATCAACACAACTCGCAGTGTTTGGAGGAGGAGGAATGCTGCTTATGACCCCAAGAACACATCCCAACTGTCAAACATGGTGGTGGAAACATTTTGCTTTGGGGGTGTTTTTCTGCTAAGGGGACAGGGCAACTGCACCGCATCAAAGGGACGATGAACGGGGCAATGTACCGTCAAATCTTGGGTGAGAACCTTCCTCCCTCAGCCAGGGCATTGAAAATGGTTCGTGGATGGCTGTTCTAGCATGACAATGACCCAAAACACATAGCCAAGGCAACAAAGGAGTGGCTCCAGAAGAAGCACATTAAGGTCCTGGAGTGGCCTAGCCAGTCTCCAGACCTTAATTCGATTGAAAATCTGTGGAGGGAGCTGAAAGTCCGAGTTGCCAAACGTCACCCACCAAACCTTAAAGACTTGGAGAGGATCTTCCAAGAGGAGTGGGCCAAAATTCCTCCTGAGATGTGTGCAAACCTGGTGGCCAACTACAGGAAACGTCTTACCGCTGATTGCCAACAAGAGAGATGCCACCAAGTACTAAGTCATAAGTCATGTTTTGTGAAGGGGATCAAATACTTATTTCCCTCATGAACATACAAATCAGTGCATAATTTGTTAGACATGCATTTCTTTTGAATTTTTTGTTGCTATTCTGTCTCTCAGTGTTACAATACACCTACCATTCGATTTTTAGACTGATCATTTCTTTGTGAGTGGGCAAACATTCAAAATCAGCAGGGGATCAAATACTTATTTCCTTCACTGTATATTTAAAGCGCTGCGTAAATTGACGGCGCTATATAAATTACCTGTAATAATATTCAGCTTGGCATACTTTTCTAGCCTGTCACTGAGGAAGGTCACCGAGTTGGCGTTAGGACTGTACTCCTAGTCTGCACTTATAAAGTTGATTTATCTGGCTTGGAGGCTGAAAAGGGATAGGAAGTGTTTCAAACATTAGATGTGTTAAAAAAAATAACTTTTGCTAACATTTATTTTATTAATTGTTTCAGGTAGAAGCAAACATCAGGGCCACAAAATGGCTATTCATAAACAAGTGAGGGCAACCTGCATGCCACAGTTTACTTACACAAACAAGCCATTCCTTCCCTCCTTTTAATGGTGTTTAACTGAACGTATTGACATCTTTGTATTTTTCCTATGGTTGCAGTTGTATTTTACACTTGATCAAATGTATGCCAACAAACACCCAAATTCGGCCTATGCACCTCAAAACAATTGTTGGACACCACCTACTCTTTGAGCATGACTTCTCTGGAACCGCTGGATACAAGCCACATGGGCTGTTACCCTAATTAAGAGTGCATTCTTACAAATACATTGGAATGGCCTGTTCTATGTGAAACTTCATGCTTTGATCAGGGTAACACCTCATGTGGCTTGTATTCAGCAGTCCCAGAGGAGTACAGTCAGAAGAGTAGGTGGCATCCAACAAATATTTTGTGGTGCAAAGGTTGGATTTGGGTGTTTATTGGCATACATTTGATCAAGTTGATGAGATAACAGAGCCCTTGAAAGCATATTAACCTCACTAGCGGTTTTCCCGAGCCTGGCTCAGACTTGAATCTAGCTGTCAAAAGCGGTAACCCCGAGCCAGACTCGGGGTCACCGCAAATTAAATACCTGGTCCCTGTGATCCGTGTCCCGGGTCCTGCAGCTGCCTAGAGCCATCCCCTATGTCCGCCCCCCCCCGTCTCCTTCCCTGCTATCTCACGCTGATCAGTGTGATCAGCGTGAGACAGCTGCACTGTGCCGTTGGGGCGGGGCTTGCGGGAGGCGGGAGTTTTAAAAATAGACCTGTGTCAAAATAAAGTGTTACTCTAGTGCATACATTGTAACTTTACCTCAGATATTTCCGTAGTGCAGTTTTTCAGTTTCTGTGACTAAAAACAGTTTTGCACTCTCGCTAGCGCCAAGGTGGTTTATGATGAGCTAGCAAACAGCGACAGTGAGGAGATACTTGAATTGAGCGATATTGACTCGTGGTGATTTGTCTTCAGACACCGACAGTGAAGACAGCAGCGAATCTGAGATTGACGCGAGTGATCTGCGAACGTGGTGCACTATTGATTGTGGTACGCCAGCGCCACCAGGATTTCCGTTTACCGGCGCACCTGGTATGAAAGTCCACGTTGAAGGTGACAACCCCTTGGCGTACTTAGAATTGTTTCTGACCGATGAGGTTATTGACATTATTGTGACGGAGACGAATAGGTACGCAGCGCAACAATTAGCTGCTCCATACAGCAGGTTTTCACAAAGCAGAAAGTGGGAACCTGTGACCAGAGAGGACATTTGGCCGTTTCTCAGCCTAATTATTCTGCAAGCAGTGGTGGGGAAAACCGCTGCAGAAGTGGTACTGGACCACCAACAAAATGCTCTCCACGCCGTTCTTTGGCACAATAATGTCGGAGTACAGCTTTTCCCTTATTATGAACTTTTTGCACTTCGCAAACAATGAGGATTTTGATGAAACAACTCATCCGGCTCCCAAGCTAAAAAAAATTTGGGAAGTCTCCCAAATAATTGTCAGAAATTTCCAGCACAGCTATGTGCCAGAGAGAGACATTAGCATAGAAGAAAGTCTAATGGCCTACAAAGGAAGGCTCAGCTGGATACAATAGATCGCATCCAAGAGAGCACGATTTGGCGTCAAATCCTACCTTCTGTGCGAATCCTCTACCGGCTACATCTGGAACACAGTCATATACGCAGGCAAAGGAACAAAATTTGATCCCAAGTACAGCAACTACGGAATGGCAACATCTTCCATCCTGTCACTGATTGAGTCTCTGCTAAACCAAGGCTACTGTGTAACAACGGACAATTTCTACACCTCTCCAGAACTTTTACGAGGTTCTTCTGCAGCAGAAAATGGATGCATAGGGAACCGTTCGGGCTAACTGGCGCAACCTGCCATCAATGTTTGCAAAAAACAAACTGAAGTCGGGAGAATTCGTTGCCTGGCAAAAAGGAAAAATAATGGCATTGAGATGGCGGGACAAGAAGTATGTGTGCCTAATGAGTACTGTTCACAATGCCTCCACAGTGATGGTACAAACAAAAGGTGGAAAAAACATCCAGAAGCCGCAGGTTGTTATTGACTACAACAGCACCATGGGAGATGAGAAAGCAGCAGAGGAAATACTATAAAAAGATTTTCCGTCATCTTCTGGAACAGTGCTTGTGGAATGCCTATATTCTGTTCCGCAAAAACAGTGACAAGCCTGTGGTTCATGTGGACTTTATCTGTAAAGTGGCGGAATCCATTTTCCTCAAACACCATCAGTGTCTGTGGGTAGATCCGGACGACGTGCTGTGGGAGTTGTCAACCCAGAATGCCTGACTGGACGTCATTTTATGGACCACATCCACACCAACCAAAAAAAAGGCAGCACATACACGGATGTGCGTGGTATGTTGCTCTCGGCGAGATGAAAGTGGAAAAAAAAAAAAATCCGCAAGGAAACAAGGTTCCACTGTCCTGATTGCGATGTCGGACTTTGAGCAGTCCCGTGTTTCAAAATATACCACCCCCATGATGTGTTCTAGAAAATGCAGTGTCTATATAATATTGTTTGGACAGAGTTCTGTGTGTTTGATTTGATTACATTATTTATTATAATTTTTTTTTTAGTATATTATAATTTATGATTTAAATTTATTAAACTTTATTGCATCAAGGAAGTCTACTAGACTCTTGTTTAAACAGATTTCATTGAGTTATTCCTAAGAATTACAGGCCTACAATAAAAAAAAACAACATATTTCCATTGAAAACAATGTACTGCTTTGAGCACAGAAATACTGACATAATCATACCGCTAGGGAGGTTAAAGTCATCTAATGGTACAAAAGGTGCCAGAGGTAAACCCCGAGCTGACGCTGCTGAGATCGTAGGTTTATTCCATCCATGCTATATTGACCTCCTATAGCATAGAGGTCTGCTTTCTCTGGTAAAGAGTTGCACACTTGAAGGTGGTGAAGCGATTGCAGAGGCACCAGCACTGGGTGGAAATTTAACAGCACCAGTTAGGGATGATTTTGAGGGCTATGAATTTTCTGATGAACTTTTAATTATGAGGCATGTTCAGAAAATAATGAGAATGATTTTTAAAAATTCTTTTATTATTCTATTATTATTATTTACAATTGAGCATTGTCTCCTTCAAAGTATGCACCTCGTAAGTGTACACAATGCTCCCTGAGATATTTCCATTCTTCATAGCATCCCTGTAAGTCTTCAAGTGGGATGGCGTTCAAAGCTTGCATAGTGGTTCTTTGGACGTTATCCACCCTACCAAATGGTATGCTTTCAAAGCTCTTTTCATCTTTGGGAATATGAAAGTCTCAAGGAGCCAAGTCTGGGCTGAAGGGTGAATGGGGAAGCACCATGCTGCGTTTTTCAGCCAAAAACTCTCTGACAGCCAAAGCACTATGATTCGGTGCATTATCATGATGAAGTATCCAAGTTGAGCTGATCTCAGGGTACACATAAAAAACTCTGTCTCAAGTGACCAAGATAACTTCCAGGTAATATTTTTAATTCGCCATTTGACCAGTAGGTACAAATTCCTTATGGACAATCCCATGTGTATCAAAAAAAAAAAAAAAGTAAAGACCATTGATTTGACTTTTGATTTGCTCATTCGACCTTTCCTGGGGTTAGGTGACATGGGTGTGTGCCATTCTGTACTTTGTTTTTTTGTCTTGGGATCATACGCAAACATCCAGGATTTATCTCCTGTGATCACTCGACTCAAAAAATCAGGATCTTTTTCCAAATAGGCCAACAGGTCTTGGAAAAGGAGCTGATGGTGTTCCTTCTGATCAGGTGACAAGTTCTTTGAAACAAGTTTTGCACACACACTTCTCTCATGTTCAAGTCATGATTTCATGAACCATTTACTTGGTAATATTCGTTTCCTCTGCAACCATTCTGATAGTGAGCCATCTTTTCAAAAACAATTTTGAGTGGCAACTTGATCGTTGTTCACCTTTAAAACCTTCTCAGACTTCCTTGAAGTCCTTGTGCCATTGGTATTCGTTTGCAGATGATAGCGCAGATTCTTGATAAGCTTTCCTCATTATTTCCAAAAGTGCACTTTTACCCAATTTCACACTACATTTGATCACGTACCGCTGTTCCAAACTCGCTTGCATTTTTCTTAATATCAGGCACTTGATCAGGGTGTCACAAAAAAAAGTCTCGTCTCTGACAGGGCTGGCATGCAACTGATCAGTGTTCTAACATTTACCTGGAACCCCACCCCAAATGACCTTGGCCAGACTCACCCTTCACAGAGCCCTGCTTGAGCGTACGAACTTTATTCTCATTATATTCCGGACACACCTCATATTTATTTATTCAAGCACTTTTGCACTTTATTTACATTATATGGCGCATGAAACGTATTAATTTATTTTTACATTTATGTTTTTAGTTTATGAATTGCTGTATTGTTTTCATCACATGCATGTATGATTTGTTTTTTGTATTTGTATTTATACAGTTTCACATAACATGATTGATCGGAATTAAATTGAGTAATCGCATTATATTTAAAGAGACCGCACATCCATTTTAAGATTTTAAAGTCAATGGTCTTCAACAAGTTGTTATTCCAAGTAAACTTTTATATCCTCATTCAGGCTACATAACCTTCGCAGGACATCATCACACTGGCTTTCCTTCTCATACGTTTTTTTATGGTTTGTAAAATTGAATTCAACTTCTGCAAACTAGTGGATATTTTTTCAGTTAAGAAATACTTATGCTATTCATCTTCTGACAAACTAGGAGATATTCCCTTTAAAAGTACTTTGTGTAGTAAGCCATGGCAAACAACAATTTATCTATTTTATCCATTTACTTTGTTCTAATAACATCTGTAGTAATTTACAGAGTATAGGTATCCCTGCCCCTCAACAAATCCCATCTTTAAACCACATTCAAAAGGAATCCTGGAGAACACAAACAAATAAAGCTTCCTTGGAGGACTAAACTTCCATCCGAAGCAACAGAACCTACATATTTGTTGACAGTATATAGTTCCTACTGCCTCAATGTAAAATATGGCAGCAATAAAAAATCAACCAGTGCCTTCATACCTTTTCCCTTAAAAGACAGCGGTCATGAATTGTAGAAAGATATCTATAATGAATTTTAATCAGCTGATCAAGATCTTTTGCTTCCTCTACTTGATGCTGAAACTCCAAACCCGTACTGTGAAGAATCTAATGAAAAGAAAACATTTTTTTTTACATATTAGCTTTTTTTCTGAAAAGAACCTGAAGCTATTGTTATCAGTTCAATTTTAAAATCATAGAGATAAGACAATGTCCTTACATAGCTACATAGTCTACCTGTTGAATGGGTCTGACTTTAATAAGGTAATTCATCTTCTGCATTCAACTGCCTTGTTAGTGAAACCTCTGTATTTCCCAGAATTTTACTCTATGAATTTAATTGCCACACCTTTACTTTGCATGCACAATAGCCTTGTCCCTATTTACTGGAGTCTGATGGGAAGTTGCCAGCACAGAATCATACAACATTAAGTTGAAAAGGAACTGAACTCTGGAAGCTGTACCCAAGAAAAGGCAGGAAGAGGGAAAATGACTAGTCATCAGTATTGCCTGTGGTCTCCATGCAGCTGATCTATTTCTGTTGCTGACTTACTAGGCCTTGTACTGCATTGTGTCTCTGTATGGCAGCTGGCTTGACAGAGACAAGATTTTGCTTCCTCACATCAGAGCTCCCAGCAAGGGCTAAAGTGAGCAGCACAGTAGTGACACAACAAAATTTTACTCCAAATCTCCAGAGATTATGAGAGGTAGGAGTACCTTGGATCTCATATTGCAGATATGCAGCTATAATGCTGTACACAGGATGTCTAGGCACACTCACATTCCAGGAAGTGCACTGCTACTTTTCAGGAGGAAATCCAGACAAATTACATAGTGTGCAGGGCACTGTTGAGCAGAATACCATTTCTAGATGATATATTCAGGTCCACTTAGTAGTTAGTTTGAGATGCGTGCTGAATTTTGCTGCAAGGATTTAAATAGAACTGACTAAAACATAACCTAAACTGACTTCCCAGTTTAACACTGTGGGAATAAAGAAAGTTTCCTTTATAGCAACCCTGTTTCTGATTGACAAACACAAAACTAAAGTCATTCTGTAAGAGAAGAAGTATACTTACCTGTTCAGTTGGTGGAGACTCCAATCTTTGCTCCTTGCAAAAGTATTGCCTTTAGCAGAATCTTCACATTGAACTCTTCCAGGTGCTTCAGATACTTGGTCCTCCTCAGCAATTTGTGATCTCTCCAGCAGGCTCTTCTACACCATTACATATTGTAAATATGTAGCGGCTGGCAGGACAACAGCGTGTATTTGGAAGGCAGATATATGATACCTTTGAAAATGAAATAGCAGCAGTGGCCTCAACTATTCCAAAGATCAATGATTGGAGTCCCCATCAGGCAAGTAAGTAATCATCATCTTTTACAGAGTGAATTCAGGTTGATTTCTGAAAATCAGCAACGTAGTTGCTTTTCAAGCTTGACATCCTTCCATGCATAATTAGTTTATGTCCAGAGTAGGTGCCCTATACCTGCACCACTAACAATTTCATCTTACAAAACTTGTATTTTACTAATAATTTGTAATTATATACTGCATGTACATGCAGGCTGCTAAATTTTTTCTCATTACATGCGCAGGCTTCCTGTTTCGCAGCACTACCCAAAGACAGTATTTTACTGATCCTTTTTACAAGTACATGTAGACTCAGAAATAAGAAAGTAATATTGCAACGTACAGGTCCTTAGATGTAGCTGCATTGGTTTTGATTTAGCAGGCTGTTTTTCTTTATTATCACCCAGTGATCCTGCCAGTAACTGGCAGTAACACATTCCTGTCCTAGGGTGAAAACACAATGTATTGTTGGAGCCGCAGTGATGTAACCCGAGGGGAATTGTGTTAGAACACTTCTACTCTTTAGCATCATAACATAGGGAGTGGAGGAGATTAGTAATTTTCTACGAGAAAAATAACCTTGATTTTGCGGTCTTAGCCTGGTAAAAAAACAAATGCAATCTCCAAACATAAGGACTTGTAAGCTGCAATGGACTTTATCCTTGAATTTAGTTATTCTTTAATTACAAACCAGAAATTACTTTAAGGTAAACAGTACCATAATAACTCAAAATATACTACATTTCCCCTGGTATCACAAGTAATCCCAATGATTGGAAATCAACACAATCTATGGAAAAGATTAATAGAGCTCAAAATGTATAACCCCAATGACCTTATAAGAACAAGTATAAATAAACTAACCCTGGTCATCATATAATTGTGCAGACTGTTAACAAAATGCATAAGCTTAACTCGCAGAAGGAACATGCGATGGATTTGCTGATTTTTTGGCTCAGCTGCTGGTAACAGATGAGAGAGTAGTTGCTGTTCACTTCCCAAGTCTTCTTTTGGGGATTCCTTCTCAGCTGCACTAACCAGTTCTAAAAAGAAAATATTGAAAACAAGACCTTAATATTTTTTTTAATAAAACAGACAACCCATAAGTAGACTATTATGGACAGCTTCCTAACAACGTAATGCTTGTTTACAGTGATCTCTAATATAAAGTGTCCAATGAAGAATCCATGAAAAAAATGTTAAGGTTATTTTTTTACTTTACCCTAAAAAAAGCCAGCTATTAGCTGACTCTGGGTCACAGGACGACAAATGTAAATGTACTCCTTTGAACCACAACAAAAGTATGGCCAAAAAAACCTTTTCTTTCAATTATATGAACTTTAAAGTACTATCAACTTTAAAGGGAAGTTTAGGAATATTTTTTTTTTAAATTATACTTACCTAGGTGGATAGCATAGATCCGATGCTGCATCTGTCCCCGGCTGGTTCTAAGTGTGAGAACTGACCAATCAGACACCACTAATCGCTCAACTCTCTCCCTCCGCTCTGAGTAGAGAGCCAGGACTGCCAGTCTGCAGCTCTCTGCCCCCCTGCACTCACTGAAGCATGAGGCCGTAGAGGGGGCGAGAGGGGATGGGGCAGGCTCTGAGTGGATTGCTGAGAGGCTGAGCCAGCTGCCGGTCCAGGGATATGGGTGGATACCGACTTTAAAGTTGGGATCTTTCCCCAGCCTGCACCAGCTGAGTGGTGTCAGCCGACAGCGAACTTTAGCCTACTGTCGGCTGAAAATGGATCACAGGACTGCAAAACGAACTGCACTCCTGTGATCCACAGAAGTACAGCCAAGCAAGCTTTGGCTGTACGTCTCCTTTTACTAGTTGTGTACACATGTATCACATTTAGGAACAAGTCAAATACAGCAAAATGTTGAGCAAAAAATTGCTTGTATTTAAGATGCCTTTGGAGACATTTTTACTTTAATTCACAACAATTGTATTGACACACAGAAGAATAGGATATGACAAATATCCTGGTGTGAAGAGAAGCAAAGCCAAAGCAACGACTAACAAAACTAAACATTGCTTCATAACATTCAAATAAAAATTCAGCAGAGTACTGTCTGTGAACCTTTTATATTTGCTCTAACAGTTAGGTTTTCAAGACAAGCTTTTGGGGTGTCTACCCTCTTTTTCTAAGGTCCAAACAGTATTGACAAACAAAGGTTTGGCAAAATATTAAGAGCAATCTCTGAAAAAACACACACACACGCAAGCATGCACGCACGCACACACACACACACCAGGGGAACAAAATGAGAAGAGAAGAAACACGACTTTGGAATGGGAGAGAAGGAAGTATAATTTTTGTTAACATTTTACTAAACCTTTCTGCTTCAGCACTGCTTAGACTTGGAGGGGAAAATAAATTACCGGTAATGTAAATTAAAAACACATCACAAACAGTACTCAGCTGTGTTGTTGCAAGTACACTAATATGGAAACAATACAAAAAGCATTGCAAACACAGACTAAAATTGTAAATTAAGAGAAAGCTGTAAATCATGGTTGATTCAGAACAGGATATGAAATGCCAAAAAACAATAGAATACAAACCCATTTATCTAGCTTCCTCTAGTCTACCACCTGCACAGTAGGTAAAATACGTAAAAAAAAAAAAAAAAAATCCAAAATGTTCTGCAGCGTAGATTTTGAACTTGCCTACCGTATGTGGCTGATTAGATCTTTCGGCAAATATTTATGTGCAGAAGAAAATCCAGCTGAGGATTAAACTGAGGTCTGTGTAAAATATTACATTACTTGCAGCTATTATTTATTTAGATATATATTTCACACACACACACACACACCTCTAAGAGACCACGGTTTCAAGAAAACATATATACCTTATTACATAAGTCAGTAAAAGTCCAAACTAAATCAAACAAGATCCTAAAATATGCCCATTAGCTGTTTTCTGGTCATTCTTTCATATATGGTAGAGAGTACCATCTGAAGTATACCACCCTACTGGTCAGGTCTTACTTGACATATGCATATGAAGATGAAGATTAAAGTGGCCCTATTTGTGGATTACTCCTGTGGTGTTTATAAATATATACAGTTAAGTCCATATGTATTTGGACACAGGCACAATTTTATTTTTTTCCAGATATTTGCCAAAACATATTCAAGCTATAGTTATATAATGGATATGGGCTGAAAGTGCACACTCTCATGTTTAATTTGAGGGTATATAAATCCAAGGGTATAGGAAATACAGCTCTTAAGAGTAGCCACCCCCCCTTTTTCAAGGGACCAAAAGTAATTGGACAGTTGAATCAAAAGCCGTTTCATGGCCAGGTATGGGCTACTCCATTATTTCTTCATCAATTAAGCAGGTAAGAGGTCTGCAGTTGATTCTAAGTGAGGTATTTGCATTTGGAATCTATTGCTGTGAACCTACATTATGTGTTCAATGGAGCTGTCCATGCAAGTGAAACAGGCCATTGTAAAGATTCAAAAACGAAACAAATTCATCAGAGCGATAGCAACAACATTAGGAGTGGCCAAATCAACAGTTTGGTATATTCTGAGGAAAGAAGAACGCACTGGTGAGCTCAGCAACATAAAAAGGCATGGACGTCCACGGAAGACAACAGTGGGTGGATGATCACAGGATCCTCTCTATGGTAAAGAAAAATCCATTCACAACATCTAGACAAGTGAAGGACACTTTCCAGGAGGTGGGCGTATCATTGTCAAAGTCAACAATCACGAGAAGACTTCATGAGAGGAAATACAGAGGGTTCACCACAAAGTGCAAACCATTCATAAGCCTGAAGAATAGAAAAGCTAGATTAGGCTTTGCCAAATAAAATCTAAAAAAGCCAGACTAGTTCTGGAAAAGCATTCTTTGGATGGATGAAACTAAGATTAATCTGTACCAGAATGATGGGAAGAAAAAAATTTGTGGAGAAGGCTTGGAAAAGCTCATGATCCAAAGCACATACCATGTAAAACATGGTGGAAGCAGTGTGATGGCATGGGCATGCATGGCTTCCAGTGGCACTGGGTCATTGGTGTTTATTGATGATGTGATAGAAGACATAAGCAGCCGGAGGAATTCTGCAGTGTTTAGAGATATACTGTCAGCCCAGATTCAGCCAAATGCAGCAAACTTGATTGGACGGCGCTTCACAGTACACATGGCCAATGATACAAAACACACTGCAAAAGCAACCCAGGATCTTTGGAAGGAAAAGTGGAATATTCTGCAATGACCGAGTCAATCACCTGATTTCAACCCCATTGATCGTGCATTTCACTTGCTTTAGGCAAAACTAAAGACAGAAAGACCCACAAACAAAGAACTGAAGACAGCTGCAGTTAGAGCCTAGCAAAGCATCAGAAAGAAGGAAACCCAGTCTTTGGTAATGTCCATGGGTTCCAGACTTCAGGTAGTCATTGCCAGTAAAGGGTTCTCAACAAAATATTACAAATGAACATTTTATTTATGATTATATTAATTTGTCCAATTACTTTTGGTCCCTTGAAAAAGGTGGGATGGCTACTCTTAAGAGCTGTAATTCCTAAACCCTTCCTCCAATTTGGATGTACATACCCTCAAAATAAACATGAGAGTGTGCACTTTCAGCCCACATCCATTATATAACTGTAGCTTGAATATGTTTTGGCAAATACCTGAAAAAAAACTAAAATTGTGCCTGTGTCCAAACACATATGGACCTAACCCTAAGTGCCAATTCATTAATGTGAAGTTTGTAGATAATTGCTCATTTTGTTTACAATTTGTACCTATTCTTTGAGGTAATCTCCTGTTGTCAATCATCTGGCTTTATCTGTTGGGTCCCAGTGTCCACCCCCAGGGATCGTTCCTTTCAGTTTGCTGCAGCATAGAGGTGTGGACATCTGGCTACATGTACTATTGCATTTATATACAGCAGTGTATATGTATTGTTCAAATATGCTGTATTTGTATATACACTATGCATGAGGAATGAACAAAAAACAGCCTATATGCTTATTGTACGATGCCATGTTTAATTCAGTTTGGATATTAATGACTCACATCATAAACTATATGTTTTATTGAAAGCAAGGTCTGCCAAGTACCACTAAAGACCAGGTAGCTCATTTTTTCTATTTATATCACTTACTAATCTCAGGAACACAGGAATTAAGTTGAAATACTGGGGTTTATTTACTAAAGCTGGAGAGTCCAAAATCAGACTCCCTTCTGCATAGAAACCAATCAGCTTCTAACCTCAGCTTGTTCAATGAAGCTTTGGCAATGAAACCTGGAAGCTGATTGGTTTCTATGCAGAAGCGAGTCTGATTTTGGACTCTCCAGCTTTAGTAAATAAACCCCACTGTGTCTGAGATTACCTAAGTCCAACACGTCTCCCACAAGTGTATAAAATATAGGCTGTCATTTCTAATTGCTATAAATAAGTAAAACAGACACAATAAAGACAGCTTACCATTAAACTGTAAGACATCCAAGCTATACTTTGCCCATTTTATTAACAGCAACAGCAAAAATATTTGGTTATAGATCTTCTGACATTCTGAGCTGATCACAATATCTACAGGCCAAGGTACCTAGGACAGGGCAAGAGTTGGACAAAATTACAAAACAGATCAGCATATTCAAACTTTGAGTAAATGTGGAACTTAAGGTAAACAAGATTAAATAAAATGTATGAGCTGAGGTTAATTTATTTTTATGCAGTAGACTATTCAGTAAACTATGATTCTTCTGCAATAAAGGATTCTTATCTCCCTGCTCACCAATTCATTACAGAGTATGCTTAGCTACTCATGCACATCTTAAATGTACAATCCTGGCGTATACAAGGATGAATTAACTCGTCGGTTATTAGTTACATCATCCCGGCCCAGCCAATCAAGATGGATGAAGAACCCAATCCTGATAGTTGGTGAGGTGATGTCAGCGAGAGCGCTTGTGAACCTCACATCACTGAAGGGCAAGTAAGTAATGTTTAGCTTTAACCACTTCAAGACGGGGCAGTTTTACCCCCTTCCTGCCTAGGCCACTTTTCAGCTTTCAGTGCTGTTACTTTGAATGACAATTGCGCAGTCATTCAATACTGTACTCATATTACATTTTTATCTTTTTAAACAAATCGAGCTTTCTTTTGGTGGTATTCAATCATCACTGGGTTTTTTATTTTTTGCTAAAATGAAAAAACAATCTTCATAAATTTAAGACAAACTGTATTCTGCTGCATTCCTTTGGTGAAAATAACCCAAATCAGTCCACAAACTATGGGATATATATATATATATATATATATATATATATATATATATATATATATATATATATATATATATATATAATATATCTGAAAATCGATCACTCCTGCTGTATTGACAGCTTATCTAATTTCTTGAGGTCCAAAAAAACTAGGACAATACAAATACACCCCAAAATTACCCCTTTTTGGAAAGTATACAGTCCAAGGTATTTAGTAAAAGGCATGGCGAGTTTTTTTAAGTTGTAATGTTTTGTCAAAATTTTTAGGAAAATGAAAAAATGTCATACTATCACCAGTGCAGTACAGCATCATCATATAACTGTTGTGGCGGTGATCAGGAATACTGACTGGTGACGGTAAAGGAAAACTTTTTTTTTTTTTATCCTTATTATATTTTTTTCCGCACACTGTGACTAGAGCAATATAATGTTACCATAGTAACTTTTTACTACTCTGGGGAAGCGATCAGGATTTTTATTTTTTTTATTTTTTACACACTCTGATTGCTTATACCAGTGAATTTCACTGTTATATGTAACCATTTTTACTGAATGAAATTGATTCATTCAGTGTTTACTATTGTGGTTAGCTCTGATTGGCCACAGCTAATCACATGGTACAGATGGGCTGTTATTGGCCCTTTCTGTACCATGTGATCAATCACAGAGATCAACACAAAAGTACATAATGTATGGCATGAAAGGAAGCCATCCACTGTGTCATGTAATCTGCTGTGCTTGGTCACAGTGATCACACAGTACTGGCAGCGGCCGGTGGACACAGCGAGTGACAGATATTGCTGCGGCCCGTGTGGCGCATTCTGGGAGTACGTCCACCCGGAACGGTGAATGTCTCGCCAGGCCTACAGAAAAATGATGGCCAGTTAAGCATGAAGGAAAATATACTTTATATAGCTTTATTAAAAAAAATTTCACAATATTCTATGTACAAGTTATGAAAGAATATATGCAATCTTATAGCTTACACTCACCTTATAACTCAGTACAAGACCATCTAATGTATGAACTGGAAGCTTCTTTTTAATCAAGTCAACATTCTCAAAGCAAATGGATAATCTAGTTTAAAGGAAAAAATTATTATAAGAATTTACCCTGATACCATTACCTATCCTAAGACCCCTGAGGATTTACAATTTTTTTAAATGAAGGAATCTTCCAAAGTATGTTAAGATTAATAACACAGTTGAGTACTGTAAAAATGTATTTGCACTAACAGTTACATTTCCAGGACAATCTTTCAGGGGTCTACCTCATGCCTCAATTCATTCAGTGCTAATGCACAAAAGTTTAGCAAAACATTAAAACCCGAAAGACAATAACCAACCCTATGGTAATGGAATGTGACAAAAAAAAAATAGCAGCAGCTTTAACCTCCAACAGTATGTGACCAGAAAATGGACACTGAAATCAACAGCTTCAGACTGCTAGTTACATCTCCCTTATCCCCAGCAAATGGAAAATTTATACAAACATTAACCACTGAAGTGAATGACTATACAGGAGTCAATCAAACACCACCATGCCAGCATATAAAGGGATGTAGTAGCTGTAATGGACACAAATATATACAGTTTATAGATAATACTTTAACAAATTAGATTATGATCCCACACAATATTTTACTCAATTAAAAAGGGTAATTAACATGCTAAAAACCCACGTACATTCAGAGGTAACTAATGCAATTCCACATAATCCAGAAATTAGGAAAGTCTACATTCTGCTGATGATTCCCAAGACAAGAAATCCGGGCAGAACTATCACATCAGATATGAATTTACTCACTGACCAAATCTCAGGCCTAGCATAAAAGGTGCTAAAGCCATTGGTAAGTCAATACTGCTGGTTTCCTGCAAGATAAAAATGATTTCCTGAACATGCTCTAAAATACACAGTATCTATTACAGAATGCATTTCTTGCGACTATGGATGTAGAATCTCTGTACGGCAAAAAATTTACATGTATGGGATTGCTGCATGTAACAGATACTTATCATCAATTCACAAGTGCTGAAGATGTTACTCAGCTGAGTGAATTCAAACAAACCTGTCCAATTTTGCATTGAATCTGGATGCTAGAAGATCCAAATCCACCATCAGCAAAGCTCCTCGAACACCTCTTGGTATAGAGCCCTCTACCCAGTGACAATTGTTGACAGCTGAAGAAATCCACCTGCCAATTTTCCACACCTGAAATGTGGACAGCAGACAGTGCAGGAAAATGCAGTTCTGCTAGAGGCAGGATAAGGTCCACCTCTTCCTGGGCCCCCTGACTTCAGGCACATTATTGACAATGTATGCCACTACCATGGCATTGTCTGACTAGACCCTTACAGGGAGGCCCTTCAGCTTCACCGACCAGTGCAGCAGGGCAAGAAGAATCACCCACATTTCCAGGATGTTGATGGGCAATGACCAACCCTGTGATGACTAAGTTCCTTGAACTCAGAGATTGTACAGAACTCCACCCCAGTCTACTAGTCCGATCCATCTTCAGGATTGTGCAAATTAGAGAGAAAAACTATTTTCTTGTCTCCAGCACCTGTGTGGAGATCCTCCATCATCCAGGAATTCAACAAATGTGTCCTACTATCTCATGCCACTAAGACATTTCATTGGAGGGGCCTGGAATGAAACTGGGCAAAGTGCACTGCCTCTAAGGAAGCTACCAACCTTCCTAGAAAGCTCACATAAAAGGGATTTGTCGTTGTCTTGAAGTCCACCTGAGTAAGACATTTGTCCAGAGGGAGGATCAGTCTCACCTGGATGGTATCCATGGACAGGTCCAGATATTCTAACCTGTTGGCTTGGATAAAGGCAGAGTCTTGTGAATGCAAAACCCATCAAAACCTGTGCACCATGTGAGACACATTGGTCTAAAAAAGCAAAACGGATTGCTTCCTTAGTAGTAAGTAATTCAGGTACCCTATAACAATGATACCCTGAGTATGCAAGAACTACAGAGCTGGGGTTGGGACCTTGGTGAACACTCTGGGAGAGGTGTTGTGCCAGGGTCACAAACTGGAAGTGGCAGTCCTCCGCCGTAAAATGCAGAAACCTTTGAAGAGGGGGAAATATCGAACATGTAGGCATGCATCTTTGATATCCACTGAAGCTAGGAAATTTCTTGCTAGAGAGGCCAACACTGACCACACTGACTCCACTGGAATTCTGTACCCATAATGATCACCCCTTGAGGTAGAATATGATCGAGAACTTGCAAAGAAGCAAATTTTTTTCGTAAATTCAAACATTTGAAAGCATGAAGCACAGAGGGGAAGGCTCTAAAATTCCAGCTTATATGGAAGATGATTACTGCACACCTTCTGAACATCATTTCTCAGATACAGACCACTCTATGGAATATAGTAATGTGTTGTGTACTCGCCTGAACCCAAACGACTAAGTGTGGTTCCTCTCTAATCCCTCTGCTATCTGCCTGAGTCACTGAAAAGAAGTGTTACTAAACCCATGGCTATGCATTCACTATGTCTGGTCTCCCACAATACACAGAACATGGACATGCAATATTTTAGTAAATATAAATGGCTAAATACCTTTTCTCATCAGCAGTATATAGCAGTCTTGTTACTTCTATTAGTGTCTGGCCGAGCACTGATAAATCTTGTAGGAGGAGTTTTCATTCTCCTCTGACTGACCTATGAAACTGCATGACCCCTGACCCTCTGTCTGGACAGTGCTGATCACATGCACTCTCCCAAAGAAATAAAATATGCTCTAGCCATCCACACTGAACTGAGCATGTGCAGAGTGCCTCCTAGAGCTCTGTACTACCAGCAGATGGATTGGGGACAGTAGAAGAAGGGGAGGATCAGAGGAGACAGGATCAAACAGCCTTTTTACACAATGTAGATGATTAATCCCTTAGGTTCCACAGTGAATATAATAAGCAGGGTTCACTGCATATACAGACTGATTTTATTGCTGTGGGTTTAGTAACACTTTAAGCCCACACCTCCTGGAAGACAGCCCATCCTCCTTCAGGACACAGCAGGTGACTGACTCGGCCTCAGCTCGGTATGTTTTTTCCATGACCTTGAGTACGGGGGGAGGGAGGTGTTTAGTTGTTACAGTTCATGGAGCTCTGTGCTCTAGCTCTGCTGTGTATGTGATGTCAGATCCCCGTCCCCTGCTTTCTACTTCTGAAAGATACTGTGTAAAACATATGTTTTAGAAGGCTGCAGAGAGGAGAGGGTTACAGATAAGCAGGTAAGACTTATGTAGGAGGATTTGTTTCATCTCTGTTTATCACATGAGGCTAGTCCCTTCACTGGGTATATGTAAGGGTTTACAAACAACTATTTAACCATTTAAATACCAGGCACTTTTATCCCGTTCCAGTTCAGGCCAATTTTTACCTTTCAGAGCTGTCACACTTTGAATGAAAATTGTGCAGTCATGCAACACTTTACACAAACTAAATTTTTATCATTTTTTTCACACAAATAGAGCGCTCTTTTAGAGGTATTTAATCATTGCTGTGGTTTTTTTTTTCGCTAAACAGACAAAAAAAGACCGAAAATCTTGAAAGAAAACCCACATTTTTCTTAATTTCTGTTATAAAGTTTTGCAAGTAAATAATTGTTCTTCATGAATTTAGGCCAAAATGTATTCTGCTACATTTCTTTGGTGAAAAGATCCCAAATCAGTGTTTATTATTGTAAGAAAGTTACAGAGCTCACAAATTATGGTACTGTATACATCTGAAATCGATCAATCCTGATGTACTGATGGTCCATTTCATTTCTTGAAGCCCAAAAATGTCAGCACAGTACAAATATCCCCAAAGATCCCTTTTTGGAAAGTAGACAGTACAAGGTATTTACTAAGAGGCATGGCAGGTTTTTTTTGAAGTTGTAATGTTTTGTCATAAATTTTTTTGTAAATTAAAAAATTTCATACCATCACCAGTGCAGTACAGCTTCATCATATAACTGGAGTGGCAGTGATCAGGGACACGGACTGGGGACAGTATGTAAAAATAAATAAATTTTTTTTTTTTTTTTTTACAATGTTTTATTTTTTTTTTTTATATTTGCATTTTATGTTTTTTCACAATTTCTTTTAACATACTGTGACCTGAGCAATATAATGTTACCATAGTAATGTTGTAATCATTTAACTGGTGTGGCAGTGGCAATTCTTTTTTTTTTTTTAACCACTTCAAGTCTGGACACTTTTACCCCCTTCCAGTCCAGGCCAATTTTCAGCTTTCAGCGCTATCACACTTTGAATGACAATTGCGCGATCATGCAACACTGTACCCATATGAATTTTTTAGCATTCTTTTGAGACAGATAAATCTTTATTTTGGTAGTATTTATTCACCACTGTGATTTTTTTTTTTTTGTGCTATGTAAATGAAAAAGTGCAAAAATTTTGAAAAAAAAAAAAGTGTTTTTCTTATAAAATTTTGCAACTAAATAATATTTTATCATAAATCTTGGCCAAAATTTATTCTGTTATCTTTTTAGTTAAAAAAAAAATAACCCAAATTAGTTTAACACCAAAAATTAAAATTTTTTAAAAATCTTTTTACATTTTATTTTTTTATATTATTATTTATGCTTTTTTTTTTTTTCTTTTACATACTGTCACCCTAGCAGTACAGTGTCACCATGGTGACACTGTGCTACTTGCGGGGGTGGTGAAGATTTTCTTTTTTACACCGATTGGCTTTACAGCCTTTATGGGTGTAAAAGCAATCATTCCTCCTTCTCTCTGGCTGCATTCTTGCAGCCATTGAGAACTACTGTGTGAGCTGTGATTGGTCACAGCTTGTCACATGGTACAAGGCTGTTGTGAATAGCCTTGTACCATGTGACCTCTGTGATCATTCACAGATTTCACACATAGTAAGCAATGTCAGAAGTGACATCTTGCTTACTACTCTGCATGTGATCACTGATTGGCCAATCAGTGATCACATGATCGGGACCTCACACAGAGGTCCTGTATGATGATCGGTGTTCCACTGTGTGAATTTCACTGCTATAAGCAAGAATGTTTACTGAATGAAACAGATTCATTCAGTATGTATTGTTGTGATAAGCGGTGATTGGCCACAGCTAATCACATGATACAGATGGGCTGCGATTGGCCCTGTCTGTACCATGTGATAACTGTGACCAATCACAGCTAGCAACACAATTGTACACAAGGAATGGCTTGAGTCGAAGTAATTTATTGTTTACAATTGTCATGTGAACTGCTGTGATTGGTCACAGAGATCACATGGTACCAGCAGCAGGCCAGTAGAGTCATCTGTCATCGACTGTGTCCTGCGCATGGCCACGCGCAACAAGGCGCGTTCCAGGAGGATGTCATATGATGTCCACAACAACGACAAACGTCCAGCCCAGCCTATTGCAAAATGACAGCCAGGTGGGATTTTTTGTCGTGTCGTATCAGGTGGACGTCATATGACGTCCTCCCAAAACGTGCGGCCATGTTCTGTCACCGGCTATGTCCACCGGACAAAGCCGATGACAGATCATTGTATCGGCCCCGCTGCTGGTACCATGTGATTGCTGTGACCAACGGTGTTAATACCCAGAAAAAAAAAATCTTTAAATGCGAAGTTCACCTTTTTTTTCCCTCTAAAAATCCAGCTCTCCTATGTACTAATATATGGTAGATTGGTACATAGGGGAGCTGGATATTTAGAGAGAAAAATTATACCTCAGTTGCAAAAAAAAAAAATAAAAGCTTTATTTGATTTTGAGAACAAGGCCTTACCCTAGCTGTATTTCTTAGAAAGCTTCATCACTTGCAGCCATGTAGATTTAGGACAAAAGAAGCCATTAAAACAGAGGAAAGAGATTGCCAGCTACCCCATTAGCACACATCCTGCACCCATCAACTATTTGTTCTTCCCATACGTGCAAGCTACCACAGCATCCCAGGCAGGCCTTAGGCAGCCCACGGGACAGCCCTGATGTAGTGCATGGGCCTACTTGATTGGATACAAAGTGATTGGATAGCTGGTGTGTCCCCTTATGATAAAAGTTTTTGTAAATCTAAAGGAGATTGTACAATCAGATTGCATAGTGTATGGCCACATTTATACACCTAAAATTACCTAGTTGTGCTTTCAGTGTCATTAATTGTTAACAGCACACCAAACACAGAAGCAAACACATTTTGCCACATAATAAAACATGACAAATGTAGCAAAAAATGTGCAACCCACATCACGTCAAAATGTCCCATGAGCTACTTTGCCACATGAAACCCATTGAGATCAATGCGTGTCACTGCAAAAACGAGCCACAAAACGTGGGCTCCAACTACGCTAGGTGTGAATCGGACCTAAAAATGAAATTCGTGTGTTTACACAAGAACAGTGACAAGAACGCACATCTGTGCATTTCCGAACACATGTAAAACTGCACGGAAAATGCGTGCATTGACGTGTTTCAGAAACACGCTGCAAATATGCATCGTGCTTGTGTTGTCATTACATGTTAAGCATGTACTTAGGCACCCCAAGTGTGGCAAATGCACCAAAACTGCAGTAACGCACCATGTTCCACTCCAAAAAAGTTCTGGAGCTTTTCTGGGGCGATTGTTACATGTATGGCAACCCATTCAAGTGAATGGGTTGCCCTTTGCGTGACAAGTGAAAATTCTCCAAAACACCCAAAACAATCACATGCGGGAAAGTGTGTTTTCGCTACGTGGAGATGTGAATGAGGCCTGACAACTGAGCATCTCCATCCACTCTCTCCTATGTACTTATATAAAAGATGGCCATACACTATGCAATCTGATTGTAAAATCTCTGTACAATTTCCTTTAGATTTACCAGAACTATGGAATAGGAGGGAGGACACACCTGAACAATCTATTCAATTTGTATCAAATTAGACAGGCCCTTGTATTACATAGCTGATGGGAGACCTAAAAGGAGATTGTACAATCACATTGTATAGAAAGTGGGTGTAAGGTAGAATTGTAATGAGGGAGGTGTGGTCCAGAGTGGTGAACACACCCTACCATACCCTCTTCCATGATGCAACAAGGAAGTGAAGGCCTCTGGGAGATGGCCTTCAGGAAGTGAATGCTGAGAAAAGATCTAGAGGAAGTGCTTAAATCTGAAAATCAGTTCAAAATCCAAATAAACTGACAAGATTTTAAACTTCCTGTGGATAAGGTAAGTGAGAGAAAAGCACATTGGGATGGCTGGGCCAGAAATGGCATTGGAAAATGCTTCTAATTTACTATGAAAAGTGAAATTCTGTCCAAAAGGTCAACTTATCCTTTAAACTTCAAATAATCCTGTTGGACACAAGAGATAATAGACTGAATGTAGACCTCAGCTTTCCAAATCACTATCAAATCAGTTTTAGAACCGCTCACCTCTGCGACTCACCCCCTTCTCTCCAATTCCACAGCCCCCTTTGTAACTTCTTACCTGCCTAACGTTCTTCCTTTATTACCGCGTGTGTGTTTCCAGGGATTGTTCTCTTTGCAAACATCTTAACATTTTAATGTTCTCTCTGTGCCTGCGTGGGTTTCCTCCGGGTACTCTGGTTTCCTCCCACACTCCAAAAGACATGCAGGTAGGTTAAGTGGATCCTGTCTAAATTGGCCCCTAGTATGTGTATGTATGAATGTGAGTTAGGGACCTTAGATTGTACACCCCTTGAGGGTTAGGGACTGATGTGAATGTACAATATATATATATGTAAAGCGCTGCGTAAAATTGACAGCGCTTTACAAGTACCTGAAATAAATAAACATAAACCTCTGTGTATCAATACTGCTTGGACTGACAAAATGGGGTAGACCCACAAATGCTTGTCCTAAAAACATAACTAATATTCCAATGGACAGTACTCTTAAACCCCGTATTTCGTACTTTCACTTTCGCAGCCAACTTGGAATAACACCTGTTTTATATTGGTTATGTGTTCCGATTCATATAGCATAACTTATAAAAATATTTTAAAGCAGTATTAAACCCAAAACCAAAAATGGAATATATTGCAGCTCATCAATCATTAGATGTGGTGACTACATTGGTTTCCTTTTCCTAGGCTTATTTCCTCTCTATTTGCCCCCAGTGATCTGCCCAGTAACACACTTCCAGCATTAGTGTGCCCCCACTCTACATAAATGAGCACAGGGGGCACATTTGGACAGCAGCATTGTCAATAATTGTTAAATGAACTAGCAGGTTTAAATACATTAAACACAATTGAAGCCAAAGTCCAGCTAACACTTTATACACAGTTACACCAGTTTTTTTCTTCTGTGATAAAAGGTTTTGCATGAATAAATAAGAGCTGATTATTGTAAGCACACCTGTCAGTGTTAAATGGTTTGTCTCATCCCTGTGATTGCAAGAAAGCTTATTCTGTTGAAAACAAATGACTTACTGACCAGATGAAAATAGAAGAAAGAAAGCCTAAATATGAAACTAATGCAGCCACCACATCTAAGAAATGGTAAGCTGCAATATAACGGTTTGCTTTTGGGTTTAAAGGGTGTAATACTACTTTAAAATTGCTGCTTACCTTTTTACTTGCTTAAAAATCCTGATTAGCTTTCCCCCTCTGTGTAACGTTAAGGAGGGGACTGGGGAGTTATGTTTATCACAATTAAAGCTATCTGTACTGTGTAAGCTATTCTGAACCATTTAAAACTGCCCATAGAGCATTGTGTATAATCCTGCTTCAAAAAAGCAACTACAAAAATATATTTTTTTAAATTTATTTTAAGTATGCTAGCCCAGTTATTTCTGCTTTAATTCCTGTTAAAGTATACTACTGAATGCTGCATGCAAAAAACACAAATCGCTATCAATACACTGAATGCAATTTTTGTTCCATACCGTGCGCTGTCCTCTGGGTACCGCTGACTGACTGCTTCCTGTAGCTGCACATTCAGAAAAACAACATTCTGCCATGGTTCCTTCTCTCTGATCTTATCAAATATAGAGGTGTAAAAGTCATACATGGTATCACCAGCTTCAAGAAGGAAGAAGTTTCTCATTGACTTCAAATATTCGGACAGTCTAAAATAGAAAAAATCTGATTATGAAAATGACCTCAAACATCTTGTACTGATCAGTTAATGGCAGAGATCTGTTGAACTATATGATTATAATCTAATGATATGGTTTCAGTGTATTGACTCCTAACAAGAACTTCTGCTTTCTAGTTCCCGTGTTACCTCCTTCCATGCCCACCTCCAGGACTTCTTCCGAGCTTCTCCCATCCTATGGAACTCCCTATCCCAATCTGTCCGACTATCTCCTAATCTATCCACCTTTAGACGATCCCTGAAAACTATTCTCTTTAAAGAAGTCTATCCTGCTTCTAACTAGTAAACTGCAATTTATTTTCTCCATCAGCTCATCTCCCACAGCTATTACCTATCCTATTGTATCACTCAACCCTTCCTCCTAGATTGTAAGCTCTAACGAGCAGGGCCCTCTGTTTCCTCTTGTACCAAATTGTATTGTAACTGTTATGTCTGCCTTCATTTTGTAAAGCACTGCACGAACGGTTGGTGCTATATAAATCCTGTATAATAACAATAATAATATCTTACTTATAATCTTCTTTTAGAGTTTTCATTAGGTTTCCACAGCACTCCAGATACTGCTTGTCAATGTGTGGGTAGAGGCACGACCGAAGGGTTAGTTCAAATGATTGACAAGTAACTGATTCTGAGGACCTATCCACACTAACATCTTCACAGGTAAATGTCTCCAGGAAGTCACTCTGTTCCAGGTATAACCTTCAAATCAAACATCACATTTAAAAGGATATACAGAGCACGGCAGGATTAACTATACTATAGGATTTATGAAAATGCCAGGTTCTAGCATGCATGCGTAAAATGCACTGGAAATATAAAACCACTCTAATTTTAATTGGAGTTTTCACAGATCATCCTTATTTCTATTTTAAAGAAAGCCAAAAAAAGATAATGTTCCTTTGGTTGGTGGCCAAACACCAGGCCTGAATATTGTCACATGGTGTTGCCCATGACATCATCGCCAAATCTGTTCTGACTTACAACTGGGGATTCTGCAGACTGCGGTTTGGGCTATTTGCTGATGTTGTCACTTTGCCTCAGTAAGGGGGTTCCTCTTTTAGTGGAACTCAACTTTTACAGTTTGGCTAGAATGTGCAAGGATTCAGTTCTTTAGCAGAGAAGGATGATGTCGAGAAGTGAACAGAACAAGAAGGAAATTCATTTCCTGTTTTCTTTCCACAGGTAGGATCTGCTCTCACTCTAAGGAAACTAAAGATCTTCTGTCACTCTAGACCTTGTTTGCATCCAAACGAAAATACAAAGTAACAAACGTATACTCTATAATAAATCAAATACAAGTAAATATAAAACAAGTAAATATGATAACATTTCCTATCTATTTACTAATACTAGCAGCATAAGGATTAAAAATTGTCAATGTTGATTAAGAGAGTGACGTTTCACTTTAACTCCTTAATGTTGCACCTCACAGCCCTCAGGAGTTTCTGATGCCAGGAGGAGGGGTGGGGTTTATGATCATGTGACCACTGTGATTGGCTGTCACAGCAGACTGGAAAGCTCTCAATCACAAGTAGCAATCGGGAGATTCCCGTTAGGGCCTGGTAACTGAGCCGGGAGAACGCAGGGCGGGTGCACATATATGTTTACATTAGAGGTACGCAAATCTGCAGCCTCTTGGCATCAAGGCCCACCTGCTGAGAGGCTGCATATTTGTGTACTGTTGGTGCAAAGGGCTTAAGGTCGAAATCCTAAAATGTATGAGCATAAAACACATATATTCAGCTGCAGTTTAATATAGTGAGTAAATACAAGGGTTATAAAGTCACTTGAATTTTATTTTAACTAATTTATTTACTGAAAAGGCAACGAAAAGCAGGTTGGAATACTTATGAATCAAATGAGACTACAACGTGTGCTGCTATTCTCCTAATCCTGAATTACAAACCAGTCCTGGCAGTGAAGCTCAACCTCTTCAGGATCACATTGCATGACACTGCCCTTAGATCAGTATTCAGATCATCATTTTCCCATTTATGCCTATCATAACAGGTTCCTTTTAAAGCTGAAAACCAGCCTTTTGCTTAGTGTTGTAGTCTCCTGTTCTGTACTGAGATTGCGTGCTCTCATTTCATTGCACACTGTGAGCTTCTCACAGTATGCATTAGAAGTTGTAGCAAGTCAGTCAGAGCCTGCCGCATTTCCTGAATGGAGAAAATCCAGCATCATTTAGCTCTTTCCTCCCCAGCCTAACTGTCCATTGCTCACCCCTTTCGTTCTTTGAATTTCAGTTCTGACAATCATGGAGGTTCAGCTTCACATGTGTGCTTTACTTATGGCAGTCTACTGTTTTCAAGAAGTTATGTGCAGCCCATTCTACCAGTCATTATCTGCCTGCATTGCACAGAGAAGCATAGAGACCAAATAACAACATCATTGGGTCCAACAGAAGTACAGAAAAAAAAAAATGAAAGATTATATTATTATTAATAAACAGTACAAAGACTTCCTACACCATACACCATCTTATCTGCTCTCACCTTGCAAAGTTGATGGCCAGCAGTGGATCATGTATGTCATTCAGTTCTAGGTGTTTAGCCACTATGGACTGCATTTTTATTAGACTCTGCTTATTAACTTGCTGCTCTGTAATGCTGTCTGGGGCCAAGTCCTTCCCATGCTGAAGTCGGGATTGAACAGATTCTAAGAACAGCGTGTACAAGCTTTTCCTATCTGCATCTGGACCATCAAAGCAAAAAAGTGACAAAAGAAACAAATTAAGAACAAAAGCATTACAGTATCTTATCCATCTCTATTTTAGGAATGCAATAAACCAGTCTATTATGGTTTAGTAAAAGAAAAAAAAAAAAAACAAAATTAGGATTCATGTCCTTTAAAACAGACCTTCTTTACAGAGAGCACCCAACTCCCCTTGAAATGATGTAAAAAAGCAATTGAATTACAATTTAGGAGAGGAAGCAGAGTATACATATAGGGGAATGGATCCCTCCATCCCTGTGGAATACCGGCTGCTGCTTCTTCTCCTCCTCTCCCTGCCACAGGCATTAATCAGCCAGGAGAGAGTACAGGGAGAAAGAAGCTGGAAAGGAGAGGAAGTAGGGGATGCATATAGGGGAACGGATCACTCCATCCCCGCGGAATGCCTGCTTCTCCTACTCTCCCTGCCGCAGGCATTAATTTTCTGAGGGAGGAAAATGGGTGGATCGGTTCCTCTATATGCTGCCCAGGTGAACAGGGGGGAGGGGGAGCATGGGCCCCCTGATGCATAGGGCCGGGTCTCAATTGCAACCCCTGTAGTTATGTCCCTAAGTTCAGCCAAATTTATATGAGTTCACAGCATCCAGCTCTTAAAATATGCATCCGTTACCTCTTGAAAGGTCCTGTTGCAGGGAGGATTTACACTTCAGATTCTTCAGCAGCTGCATAGATTTCCCCGCCATGATGATCTGCTTGAGAACAGGTCTTAGAAAAGAGACCATTGTGTGCTGCCTGCTGGCTGGGGCCTGGTCACTACCTGAGCTGGCACTGGCATTGTCACTCATTTTATCTTCATTCTCAGTTTTTTCTGAGACACTATATAGTGTGTATGTTGCATACCAAAAATCACGATGATTCACTGGAACATCTTTATTTCTACAAAAAAAGAAAAAAGACAAATAAGAAGCACCTCTAAATACAAATGCATAAACATAAATACAAAGACAGAACTTGAGTTTGAATTCCATCTTTTATCCCATGCCTAATTTTCTAGCAGGCTGTTCATTTGTGGTGCAAAGTATTTGCAATCTTTTGACAACATGCAGTCCTCAAACAGATGCCACAGGACTGACTCAAGACATGTAGATTTGCTACCTTATAGTTGTTAGTGTCTTGAAAAAGTATTCATACCTTTTGAAATTTTCCACATTTTGTCATGTTACAACCAAAAACATAAATGTTTTTTTATTGGGACTTTATGTGATAGACCAACACATAGTGGTACATAATTGTGAAGTGGAAGGTAAATGATAAATGTTTTTCAAAATTATTTTACAAATAATTATCTGAAAAGTGTGGCCTGCATTTGTATTCAGCCCTCCGGAGTCAATACTTTGTAGAACCACCTTTTCGCTGCAATTCGTACCGTCCCCCCCAACAAAAAAAAATATACTTTGCCTTAGATTCCTCCTGTCTAATCACATCCTGACATACCATTTTTCTGGAGCCTTTAGCTGTATGTCATTTAGGTCATATCCCTCACACTCCTGCCTTAATTGCTGCTCATTGTCTTTCTGAGGGCCATCTGGAGTGGAAGTGCCTGAGGACCTGACATGTAAAAATCTCCCTCTTTTTACTTCATTCTACAGATTTGCTTTCTCTACCTTTACAGCTGTTTTTGATCATTTGTCCACCAAACATCAGTTCACCTATCATTAGAAGGGCGCATCTGACACGAATAAGCAAAGACCTCCTTTCCTACCAAGATATTCACTTTAAAAAACGTCTACAGGCCAACTTTACTCTGCTATTCATTATGCAACATTGCATTAGATCTTCAATGAATCAATTAGTTGGCCCAAAAAACCCCACAAATTTTTTGTAATCATGTACATTTGTACAAGACTCCCAAATCTGTAGGCAAAAGCTTGGTAACGAGGTATCTGTGGTCTGGATACTTGTTTTTTTCCCCCTGTTTTTTAATAACTAGTTGAAAGGCACCGATGCCTGTGACCAAAAGAGCCAAGCACTGCACCAAGTGACTGCAAAGCATGCTGCGGAGCATCCGTTTTAATAAATACAAAATAAGAAGAATCGGCCAGACCAGTAAGTCGACATTACAGAGCATGCCATGCATAACTGCTCTTACCGCTGAATAATGAATTCCTTTGCTGGATCAAATAGGTGTCCATGAACAATCCATTCATCTACTATTTCTAAATAGGGTCTCACAGTTTCAACCCACAGGAAAAATAGGAGAGACACCTATAAGTAAATAAACAAAAGGTATAATTAAAAGAGTTAGAAATATAACAAACAGAATAAAATTATATGCATCTCATTAACAAGGTGTTTACTTTCGCTTTATTTTGAACAGGTAGATTCTTTTCTCCTGGGAAAGATGCCTGGATACCCTAAATTACAGTGAGGCTCATCCAATGTAACCTGTATAACACAGTGCCCTTTTCCCTTTTCTTAGGGAAAGGGATGAGCAAAAGGTCTGTTGAATCACACAAAGATTTTTCCAAAAATCAAACTGTCTATGTGCAGTAATTAGGCCTAATGCACACTGAGCGCTTTTCAGGATGTGATTCCTCCTGGTAGCAGCATTTTGACAGAAAAAACGTGTGTAATGATTTCAGGTGCATCAAACGCTTGGGTGTTAATTTCAATGGCCAGAATAATTTATTCTGGCCATAGAAATAACACTCAAGCACTAAACACATCTAGCAGTAGTAAACCGCCCAATAAAAAAAACAAAATAGTGGGCTCCCGGCAGGTCATAATGTACTAGTATGCACCGTATACTAGTACTTTATGACAGACTTCCCTGGACACGGAGCCCTCTAGTGCCACGCGGTCATGGCTCCCCACCGCCCCCATCTTCACCTGGTCTTCCTTCCAAGTTCGCGGGCTCAGACAGTATGAGTGGCTGGAGCAGTGGTGACGTCACTCCTGCACGGGAGCCCTCAGCTGTGGCACAAAGCCCTGCAGGTCTGGTACGCTGGGACGTCCCTTCAAAGCACATGCACTGGTGTCATCACCAGCTGCATGCTGTGTGAATATCTCCTAAACCGTGAAAGTTTAGGAGATTTTCACTGTACCTACAGATAAGCCTTATAATAGACTTACCTGTAGGTACAAATTACAAAGTGGACACATATTTAGATACGTTGAAATGCATATAAATCATGCATTGTTTTCTGCCTAAACACCAATTCTGGATGTTTTGGAAGTGGGTTTTTTGCCTCTAATCTCCTCTAAACACCTGTATGTGCATGGACACATAGGCTAACATTCAGGGGTGTTTTGAGGCAAAAAAAAAAAAAAAGCCAGAAGCTCTGCATTTTAAAAAAGTTCATTGTGCAGGAGACCTTAGAGTTTATTACTGTTTACCATAACATAGGAAAGCCCTCAACTGTCTGAAGCTCACTCAAACATCTAACATTCAAACTGGAGAAAGAATAGGGCTTTTTAACCACCTCAATACTGGGCACTTTCACCCCCTCCCTGTCTAGGCCAATTTTCATCTTTCAGTGTTGTCACACTCTGAATGACAATTACTCAGACATGCAACACTGTACCCATATGAAATGTGTCTTTTGTGAGGCAGATAGAGCTTTCTTTTGACGGTGATCACCACTGGGTTTTTTATGTATTGTGCTATAAAACGAAAAAAAGACTAAAAAGTTTGGAAAAAAAAAAAAGTGTTTTTCTTAAAATAAAATTTTGCAAATAAGTAATTTTTCTTCATAAATCTTGGCCAAAAATGATACTGCTACATTTCTTTGGCAAAAATAACCAAAATCAGTGCATATTATTTGACCTGTGTGAAAGTTATAGATTCTACAAGCTTTGGTACCCATCACTGAAAATTGATCACACCTGATGTACTGACAGCCTCTCTCATTTCTTGAAGCGCTAGGGCTACATTCACACTAGCCTGGTTTGCAAGCGGCAGACAGGCATTTGGGAAGCATTTTTACCGTTTTCCAAACGCCTCGGAAAATTCTGCACAATGCAGCACATAGTGCTTTTCAAACGGGAGCGTTAGCGTTGCGGTAAAACAGACGCTTCTGGTCGAGTCAGGAGGAGTTGAAGCCTCCTATTCAAGTCTATGGTGCCGCTCCGCAAATGCCTGGCCGACGTATGCGGTGTGGTTGCGACGCATTTGCGGAGCGTTAACACCATTCAAACTTCATTATAGGCGTTTGTGGGGCGTTTTTAACGCTTGGCAAATGCCTAGCAACCGCCTCTAAACCACGCATTTTTTGAGCGTTTGCAGAGCGTTAAAAACGCTTCACAAACACCGGACCAGCGCTTGTCGAACGCTATAGGGGCGTTTGGCAAGAGTTGAAAAAAAAGTCAAGTGTGAACGAGCCCTTACATGCCAGGACAGTATAATTACCCCCCAAATGACCCCTTTTTGGAAAGTTAGCAGTTCAAGGTATTTAGTAAAAAGCATGGTGAGTTTTTTTGACATTCTATTTTTTTCCCCACAATTGTTAGGGAAATGAATTAAATAAAATTAGTTTTTTTTCACAAAAATGTCACATTAACAAGTTATTTCTCACAAACATATATACTTGCAACTACACCCAAAACACAGTCTGCTACTCCTCCTGACATCACTCCCATGTATGTGTGCAGGAGTCATGGCTGCAGCACAGAGCTCTGAAGGTAAGGCATGGGTATTGCGTTCCTTCGGAAACGCATACGCTGGTGACATCACTGGCTGTCACTCACCAGAAAATCTCCTGAAAAGGTGCACATTTAGAAGACACTCATTTTACCTACAGGTAAGCTTTATTTTAAGTTTACTTGGAGGTAAAAAAAAAAAAAAAAAAAATAAGAGTTTAATACCGCTTTAAAACCAGGCCTTCTTCTGACACTTTGTTTACAAGTAAAAATTAGCATTTTTGCTAGCAAATTACTTAGAACCTCCAACATGATATATTTTTAGCAGAAGCCCTCGAGAATAAAATGGTGGATTTTGCTAATTTTTATGTCACATGGTATTTGGCAAGCAGTTTTTCAAACAAAATTTTACACACAAACAAATGCACTTTAATGAATTTAATGTACACAAACACAATATAATACCCAATGTTTTGGTAACATATAAAATATGGTGCTGCGACAAGTAAATAGATACTAAACATGTCATATTTTAAAATTGTGCACGCTTGTGAAATGGCCCCAAACTTCGGTATTTAATCATCTCCATAGATGATGCTTTATAAGCCTTTACAGGTTACCAGTTTACTAGTTACAGAGGAGGTCTGGTGCTAGAATTATTGCTCTTGATCTGACATTCGCAGCAATACCTCACGTGCTGTGCGATTGCTGTTCACGTATGCGTACGGGACAAACACATGCATTCACTTTTGCACGCGAGACGGGGGCTTTTTAATTTTTTTTTTTTTTTTAATTATTGATGGGATACTGGTACACTGACAGAAGTTTTTGTACACAGTGGCAGATGTGACAGATGTTGATGGGCCACTAGAGACACTGACACATTTTGATGCAATGGGACACTATTGCAGATGTTTTTGTGCACTGGTACAGATGTTGATGGGGCATTTGGACAGGGACAGATGGTGCTTGGTGTACTGTATGGGGATGGCTGCAGTCTGTGTGATCTGTATGTAGCTGAACACTAAAATCATCAGCTACACACAGATATCTGACAGGCTGGAGTCATCCCTCTTTTACCTCTGGCACTGAGCTTTCACTGAGCTCAGTGGGGAGAGCTGAAACAGAGACACGTGTCTCTGTATATACTGTAATGGCTGAGAATGGACACAGCCATCATGTGATTTGGAGGGCCAATCACAGCGCCTATGTCCCGATCTGTGATGTGCTGTGTCTGAGGGACATATCCATCACAGGATCGTGCCACTGTGCGACCTCGTGGCCATGCAAGACACACCTCCTGATGGGACATACAGGTACGTAAAATATTTTTGTAATGGTATACTTACAACATTTAAAATATTTCTGTTGAATTACCAGAAATCTAATACTTCCTTTATAATCTCTGAATAGAGCAAGCACTGCCTTTGAACATATTAGCTATTTATGCAGAAAAATATATTCAGAAAGTCCTAACTGATATGTCATTCAGACCAGTGGGCATAATTTTATCTCCTGCTCTTCAGCCTACTTAAGACACATGCTATTTAGAGCATAACAATAAATAAGCTTGAATATCTGATGTTAAAATCTGACAACTGCCATCTTCATCTTAGTAAATAAAATGTTCACAGGCCTGGTTTCATATTTACCGGTCTAGTATAATGAAGTACAACTGTACAGAGCAGAGTCACAAGAATCTGGTGGGACTCTGGAATGTAATAACAGGCAGTGTTTTTGGCATTCACACTGTCCTGCACATATATTACCTTGTATGACTTTCATAATATCACTGTATACATCACACTTATTTAAAACAGTAGCATATAACCTTGAAAAATGTCTGTTATGTAATGTGTTGTAGTCTTGAGCATCAGTTACTGTAGCTAAGACAGGTAGTGGCAGGCAGGAGAACAGTATATCAGCTTGTGAAAATGCAAGAGTTGGACTCAGTGAGGGAATGGGGGGGGAGAGCCAAAGCAATGGGGCTAACAAGAACAATGAGGAAGGTACACAGATGTTGACCAGTAAGACCGGAAGCAAAACAGATCTCTGCTTTTACCTATAAAATAACACTGCCCTGGTGCAGCCATGATACTGATTAGGTTATATTATATTATTGTTCAATGATGGCTTGTATTAGTGTATATTTCAGGTGTGAACCATATTGAAAAACGGTGCTTTTCTAAAGTTATTAGCCAAGTAAGTTTTGCATGTTAAACCCATCCTGCCAGAGCAAATCAGTCTGCTGATTACCTACCGTTTGTTCAGATGCCTCTCCTACGTTGTCATATTCCAAAATGGCTTTATACAGAGTATTAAGAAGATGAGAGGCTCTCACAACGTTTCTGGTGTCAGGAGGCACTTCTGCTATACCTGTGCTGAAAACCTTATGCAACACTTTCAGCTGTGCAAGCCGAGGAGCCAACTTGTCAACAACCATTGCCAATGTGACTGTTTTGTCTAAAGAAAGCAGATAACTGTTATATTAGGGTGTAAATGTTCTAGAACATGCTGAGCATCGAAGTAAACATTTAGTTTACCTTTGTTTATTATGCACTTCTCAACCTCTGCCAGCTCCTCTTTAAAGCTCATGAAGTATTTGTACAATGCCCACATGAAGGCCTGGTAAGTTCGGAATGGAGCCTCAGCACCTTTTTTGGGAGTAGGAAGAGTTCCAGGCAAGGGGTTCTCAGAACAGTGACCTGTGACCTCATCCATAAACTTCTGCAGCCGAAATACTACCTGTCCATAGGCTGCTATTTGCTCAAGGACAGACCTAAGACAGTTCTAGAAGAAGAATATTGAAACAAAACTAAATTTATGTAGTGGTGTTACACTCGCATTTTTTACAATAAAAACAACATGAAAACACAAGACTTAATATAACACTAAAACGCATAACAGGATTACAAAATTTGACAGCGAACAATGAACAAATAGTGAGGGATTAAAACTGCATAGAAAAGAAGAGAATTCATATATTTTGCTTCTAATCTTCACTGACCGCTAATTAAAGGGCCCGATTCACTTAAAACTAGTAAGGGCACTTTTTTAACCATCATAATAATTCTCCACTGAACACCAATGTGAGGTAACACAATTTTCACTGTCTGCATTTCTTTTCATGCAAATGTTATTATTCAGGTCATTTAAAGTGTTACTAAACCCACAACTGTAAAAATCAGTCTGTAAATGCAGTAAAGCATGTTTGTTATATGCACTGTGGAACCTAAAGGGTTAACTCTGCAATGTGTAAAAAGGCTGTTCAATCCTTTCTTCTCTGCCCCTCCTCTTGTTGAAATTACTACCTGATACAGACTGAATCTGTAGTCACATGCACATGCTCAGTTTGGTGTGTATTGCTAGAGGTTATTTTTTTTTTCTAGGGAGAGTGCATGTGATCAGCACAGGACCAATCAGCACTGTCCAGACAGAGGGTCAAGGGTTTCACATCCTCCTACAGCACAAAGAAAACTCCTCCTACAAGCTTTAACCAGTGCTCTGCTGAAGTCACAAGACTGCTATATACTGCTGATGAGAAAACGTATTTAGCAGTTTATATTTACCAAAATAATTGCATTTCCATGTTGTGTGTGCTGTGGAAGACCAGATATAGTGAATGCAGGGTCCTGGGTTTAGTATCCCTGTAATTATTATTACTAAAAATGGTTGTGTTGTATAGAGCAATCCCAAATACACTAAGAATGCCACATTCCCTATGCTTTTATCACAACTTACTGTTCATGCTAATGTACCAAGGCTGAAAAAGGCTTGTCTATATCATTGAAATAATTGAAGTTACCAATATAAGTTACTTAGACTATTAACATACATGTGTCATATGCGTCACAACGATATCATTCCTTACAGTGACCTTGCCATCATTCAACTGAAAGATGAACAGTTTTTTCACACCGGAGAGTATCCTAAAAACAAAAAGTTATTATTAGGAATCTTGAAATAGGATAATCACAAGATAGTGGTTGTGATTATTTTAATACACTGTATAAATGATTCTGATTAAAGTAAACAGTAAATGTGCCCCAAACGTCAGGTCAAACATTTTATTCATTTTTAACTTGGTTTAGACCTGCAAAAGTTTTTGAAGACTTTCTGCTCCTGAAAAAAAAAAAAAAAATAGTGAAAACCTACCCTATTTGTTTGCCAAGGAACACAGGGATTTATTTACTAAAGCTGGTTCACTCAGAATCTCATGCAGCTCTGCATAGAAACCAATCAGCTTTCAGGTTTTATTGCTAAAGCTTAATTGAACAAGCTGAGATTAGAAGCTGATTGGCTACCATGCACAGGTGCACCAGATTCTGAGTGAACCAGCTTTATTATAGAATAAAACCCATAATCCAACTTACCAGAGAGTCTCACGAATCACTTGGGTTTCAGTGACAAATGTTTTTTCTTCAGGTGTATATAATGGATCTGTAGAGTACAAATGCTGATCCCTAAAATATAAAATCACAAGTTCATCAAAGACTGAGTACTGGAATACAGAGAGTTTTACATTCATTTCAGTTCTGTTTGCCCACTCAAAAAGAAATGATCAGTCTAAAAATCGAATGGTAGGTGTATTGTAACACTGAGAGACAGACTAGCAATAAAAAAGTCAAAAGAAATGCATGTCTAACAAATTATGCACTGATTTGCATGCTCATGAGGGAAATAAGTATTTGATCCCCTTCACAAAACATGACTTAGTACTTGGTGGCAAATCCCCTGTTGGCAATCACAGAGGTCAGACGTTTCCTGTAGTTGGTCACCAGGTTTGCACACATCTCAGGAGGGATTTTGGCTCACTCCTCTTGGAAGATCCTCTCCAAGTCATTAAGGTTTGGTGGCTGACATTTGGCAACTCTAACTTTCAGCTCCCTCCGCAGATTTTCAATCGGATTAAGGTCTGGAGGCTGGCTAGGCCACTGCAGGACCTTAATGTGCTTCTTCTTGAGCCACTCCTTTGTTGCCTTGGCCGTGTTTTTTGGGTCATTGTCATGCTGGAACACCCATTCACGACCCATTTTCAATGCCCTGGCTGAGGGAAGAAGGTTCTCAACCAAGATTTGACAGTACATTGCCCCGTCCATCGTCCCTTTGATGCGGTGCAGTTGTCCTGTCCCCTTAGCAGAAAAACATCCTCAAAGCAGAATGTTTCCACCACCATGTTTGACAGTTGGGATGGTGTTCTTGGGGTCATAGGCAGCATTCCTCTTCCTCCAAACACGGCGAGTTGAGTTGATGCCAAAGAGCTCAATTTTGGGCTCATCTGACCACAACACTTTCAACCAGTCCTCCTCTGCATCATTCAGATGTTCAGTGGCAAACTTCAGACAGGCCTGGACATGTGCTTTCTTGAGCAGAGGGACCTTGTGTGCACTGCAGGATTTCAATCCTTGTCGGCGTAGTGTGTTACCAATTGTTTTCTTGGTGACTGTGGTCCCAGCTGCCTGGAGATCATTGACAAGATCCTCACGTGTAGTTCTGGGATGATTCCTCACTGTTCTCATGATCATTGACACTCCACGAGGTGAGATCTTGCATGGTGCACCAGACCTAGGGTGACTGACAGTTGTTTTGTGTTTCTTCCATTTGCGAATGATTGCACCAACTGTTGTCACCTTCTCACCAAGCTGCTTGGCGATAGTTTGGTAGCCCAATCCAGCCTTGTGTAGGTCTACATTCTTGTCCCTGACATCCTTGGACAGCTCTTTGGTCTTTGCCATGGTGGAGAGTTTGGAATCTGATTGTTTTATTGCTCCTGTGGACAGGTGTCTTTTATACAGGTAACAAAATGAGATTAGCAGCACTCCCTTTAAGAGACTGCTTCTAATCTCAGCTTGTTACCTGTATGAAAGACACCTGGTAGCCAGCAATCCTGCTGAATGATAGGGGATCAAATACTTATTTCCCTCATGAACATGCAAATCAGTGCATAATTTGTTAGACATACACTTCTTTTGAATTTGTTGTTGCTATTCTGCCTCTCAGTGTTACAATACACCTACCATTCAATTTTTAGACTGACCATTTCTTTGTGAGTGGACAAACATTCAAAATCAGCAGGGGATCAAATACTTATTTCCTTCACTGTACATACAGTCAGGTCCATAAATATTGGGACATCGACACAATTCTAACAATTTTGGCTCTATACACCAACACAATGGATTTGAAATGAAACGAACAAGATGAGCTTTAACAGGGTATTTACATCCAAATCAGGTGAACGGTGTAGGAATTACAACAGTTTGCATATGTGCCTCCCACTTGTTAAGGGACCAAAAGTAATGGGACAATTGCTTCTCAGCTGTTCCATGGCCAGGTGTGTGTTATTCCCTCATTATCCCAATTACAATGAGCAGATAAAAGGTCCAGAGTTCATTTCAAGTGTGCTATTTGCATTTGGAATCTGTTGCTGTCAACTCTCAAGATGAGATCCAAGAGCTGTCACTATCAGTGAAGCAAGCCATCATTAGGCTGAAAAAACAAAACAAACCCATCAGAGAGATAGCAAAAACATTAGGCATGGCCAAAACAACGGTTTGGAACATTCCTAAAAAGAAGGAACGCACCGGTGAGCTCAGCAACACCAAAAGATCCGAAAGACCACGGAAAACAACTGTGGTGGATGACCGAAGAATTCTTTCCCTGGTGAAGAAAACACCCTTCACAACAGTTGGCCAGATCAAGAACACTCTCCAGGAGGTAGGTGTATGTGTGTCAAAGTCAACAATCAAGAGAAGACTTCACCAGAGTGAATACAGAGGGTTCACCACAAGCTGTAAACCATTGGTGAGCCTCAAAAACAGGAAGGCCAGATTAGAGTTTGCCAAACGACATCTAAAAAAGCCTTCACAGTTCTGGAACAACATCCTATGGACAGATGAGACCAAGATCAACTTGTACCAGAGTGATGGGAAGAGAAGAGTATGGAGAAGGAAAGGAACTGCTCATGATCCTAAGCATACCACCTCATCAGTGAAGCATGGTGGTGGTAGTATCATGGCGTGGGCATGTATGGCTGCCAATGGAACTGGTTCTCTTGTAATTATTGATGATGTGACTGCTGACAAAAGCAGCAGGATGAATTCTGAAGTGTTTTGGGCAATATTATCTGCTCATATTCAGCCAAATGCTTTAGAACTCATTGGACGCCGCTTCACAGTGCAGATGGACAATGACCCAAAGCATACTGCAAAAGCAACCAAAGAGTTTTTTAAGGGAAAGAAGTGGAATGTTATGCAATGGCCAAGTCAATCACCTGACCTGAATCCGATTGAGCATGCATTTCACTTGCTGAAGACAAAACTGAAGGGAAAAAGCCCCAAGAACATGCAGGACAGTTGCAGTAGAGGCCTGGCAGAGCATCACCAGGGATAAAACCCAGCATCTGGTGATGTCTATGCGTTCCAGACTTCAGGCTGTAATTGACTGCAAAGGATTTGCAACCAAGTATTAAAAAGTGAAAGTTTGATTTATGATTATAATTCTGTCCCATCACTTTTGGTCCCTTAACAAGTGGGAGGCACATATGCAAACTATTGTAATTCCTACACCGTTCACCTGATTTGGATGTAAATACCCTCAAATTAAAGCGGACAGTCTGCAGTTAAAGCACATCTTGTTTGTTTCATTTCAAATCTATTGTGGTGGTGTATAGAGCCAAAAATGTTAGAATTGTGTTGATGTCCCAATATTTATGGACCTGACTGTATATACACAATAAATATATATACACACACACACATATATATATATACATACATACACACACACACACACACATATATATATATATATATATATACACATACACATACACACACACACACACACACATATATATATACACATACACACACACACATATATACACACACACACTATATTGCCAAACGTATTGTGCCAGCCCTCCAAATCATTGGATTAAGGTGCTCCAATCATCTTCATGGCCACAGGTGTATAATATCGAGCACCTAGGCGTGCAGACTGCTTCTACAAACATTTGTGAAAGAATTGGTCTCTCAGAAGCTCAGTGAATTCAAGCCTGGTACTGTGATAGGTTGCCATCTGTGAAAAAGTCCAACTGTGACATTTCCTTGCTACTAAACATTCCACAGTCAACTGTTAGTGGTTTTATAACAAAGTGGAAGCAACTGGGAACAACAGCAACTCAGCCACGAAGTGGTAGGCCACGTAAAATGACACACGTAGAGAGCTTCATGGAATGGATTTCCATGGCCGAGCAACTGCATCCAAGTCTTACATCACCAAGTGCAATGCAATGCAGTGGTGTAAAGCACACTGGACTCTAGAGCAGTGGAAAAATGTTCTCTGGAGTGACAAATCACACTTCTCTGTCTGGCAGTCTGATGGATGTGTCTGGGTTTGACAGTTGCCAGGAGAACGGTACTTGCCTGACTGCATTGTGCCAAGTGTAAAGTTTGGTGTAGGGGGGATTATGATGTGGGATTGTTTTAAAGGGGTTGGGCTTTGCCCCTTCATTCCATTGAGGGGAACTCTTAAGGTGTCAGCATACCAAGACATTTTGGACAATTTCATGCTCCCAACTTTATGGGAACAGTTTGGTGATATCCCCTTCCTGTTCCAACATGACTACGCACCAGTGCACAAAGCAAGGTCCATAAAGACATGGATGAGCGAGTTTGGGGTGGAGAAACTTGACTGGTCTGCACAGAGTCCTGACCTCAACCCAATAGAACACCTTTGGGATGAATTAGAGCAGAGACTGCGAGCCAGGCCTTCTCGTTCAACATCAGTGCCTGACCACAAAAATGTGCTTCTGGAAGAATGGTCAAACATCCCCATAGACAAACTCCTAAACCTTGTGGTCAGCCTTCCCAGAAGAGTTGAAGCTGTTATAGCTGCAAAGGGTGGGCCAACTCAATATTGAACCCTACGGACTAAGACTGGGATGCCATTAAAGTTCGTGTAAAGGCAGGTGTCCCAAGGCTTTTGGCAATATAGTCTATGTGCCATGGTCAAAGGCAGTTTTATAATTGTGCTGAAGTGTTGGAAAGTAGACAGAAATATTCCTTACCAGACAGCTGCCAGGTTAGAATGCAAGTGCAAACTGTGTGAAAATCTACTTGCTCTTGAGGTCCAGTACTGATGAACGACATGCTGCTCCAGCCAGGTTCGGGCATCTGGTTCACTAACTAGAAGACAGACAAAAACATTTTTTTTTCTTTCAAACTAACATTTCCCATATAAAACACTAAGTAAAAAAAAAAAAAAAAAAAAAAAAAAAATCACTACAGCAGCTGGAAATCTATTTACATTTTACTCCTCTCTGCCTGCTATGTAGTAAAAGTAATTTGTTAGGCTATGAATGAAGGGACCACCCCCCACCCCCCCTGCATGTTCCCTCTCCCCATGCCTTATCCTGGACATAACTTAAAGCAGGGGTAGGCAACCTTTAAGAGGTGGAGATCTACCTGAACAACATGGAGCAGGTCAAATATCTCCAGGCTGTGCCTTTTTATTTATAGCAAAAGAAATTTACTAGCAAGTCCCCAATAATAAGTAGACCTATAATTCCTTCCGTGGCCATGAACCAAAGCATCGTAATCACAGTGTGTGCAAACCTCAGGCTGCTGCCTCTGCAGCTAACGGAGAATGGCTGAGAGGTAGTAAAATTGCTGCTCAGCCGAGGGGTTTTACTGCCCCTCCCAACCACTAGTTTGAACAAGCCCTAATGCTCAGACCACTGTACAAAAGTACCACCAAAATGACCGCCTCTGCTCAGTGGAATTCACTCCCCACCCATATTCCTTATAATAGAGATTTCACCTAATATCCCTTATTCTACTTCAGTACAGACTCCCTGTCCAGCTCAGAACAATCCAAATTTACAACACAGACCCCCCCTCCCCACCCAGTACAGACCCCTCACCAGTTCAGGTGCCTCAATACAGAAAACCCCCTCATCCCCTCCCTCTCACCCCCAGGGTACAGAACTGAAAGACGAGAATACACCCAGCTCAGATTGAAAATTCAGAGCAGTGAAGGAGACTTCTGGCAGTGAGCTAACTCTCTCACTAATGCAGCACAGCAAGTGAGGGCTCGGTGGGGCTTTGTGTTTTTTTCTTTGTGCTACACAGCACTAACGAAACTTCGGCTGCCGTAGCAGCCCCAGTGAGCCTTCACCAGCTGCTTCAGTAAGAGAAGAGCTCAGTTCCAAGTCTCATCTACTGGTCCGCCTGCCCAGCTCTCTCCTTTATTGCTCCACCTGTCCAGCTCCCTCCTCACCTGCTGCTCCACCCACCGGCTCTCTCCTTTCCTGATCCGCCGGCCAGCAATCTCCTCCCCTGCTCCAGCCGACTTCTCACCCTGGTCTGCCCAGTACACAGTGGGGAGGAGCAGTTTAGCCCGAGGTCGGCAATGCAGAGACGAGATCTACCTGTCACCTAGTTGCGATCGTCAGACAGATTGCGATTGATGGGTTGCTGACCCCAGACTTAAAGGATAAGTTCACCCCTTTCTAACATGTTACACACGTATTCAGGGTGTAACATGTTAGCGCTGCGTCTGTCCCTGCGAGTGTCCGCTGTGAGAACAGGCTGGGGATTTTCTCCTAGTGTCTGCTGTCACAATTCAAAAAAGACGCGGCTGTGCGGGGTCCTGACCACCCAGCCGCATCAATCATGCACAGAATTCTATGAATGAAAAATTACAAGCCTCGACAGTCTTTGCGGCTATTGGCTTGCAGTTCTCAATGAACTACCACAGCACTGATGAACACTTTGCTAGTTCATTCTCTCTGTCTGTGCATATCTGCCTGCTCATACAAAGTACGAGCACACAGATATGCAGACAGGTCTGCAGGAGTCCTGCATGGCAGGATCAGCAGATCACGGATGCGAGGTACGAGCACTCAGATATATAGGATAGGTCTGCAGGAGTCCTGCATTGTAGGAACAGCAGCTTGCAGGTGCAATGCTTTCTAGGATTTGTAGTAAAAAAAAAAATATATATATAATAATAATAATAATGAGATTAATAAATGCATTTTTTTTACCTGCACAAAGATGAGCATTTATTATTTTTTTAACAAAAGCTGAACTTGCCCTTTATAGGCTAAATCCATCTTTGTAACATGTTACATTTTACAACTGTATTTTACACCCCCCCCCCCCTTTTTTTCAATAACAGCAACCGAGGATCTTCTACCCCACAACCGCTGTTACATTCAAAATCGGCACACACCTCCTACACAGCCCCATCATTCATTCACAGGGATCTGTGAATGAAGAAACTACAAGTTCTATTTTACACCGAAGCAGACTTATAGTTCTCAATGTACTGGAAAGGTGCTGATGAGCGCTCTTGTAGTCAACTGAAACTGTCTCCAGCTTTCTAAAAGAAAACCCATACAGAAGTACAGACAGAAAGCTGGAGTACGTGTCTACTTTCAGAAAAATATATAGTTTTGGAATTCCTAATTAGAGCTTCAAGCCCATAATGTGTATTTTAGAATGAATGTACCTTTCCATGACACCACAGGAGGAGCATTTTTTCTGTCAGCATCATCTTGAGGCGTCTTATCAACCTGGATTCCAGAGTCTTCCCTGCTCAGTGTCTCTTCATCTTCTTCCTCACTAACTTCAGACCACTCCTGAAAGTGTAACATCGAATATTCTACCATTTGTTTGACTACCAGTAGTTAAAAATCACTAAATATAATAGTAGAGTAAAATGTCTACAAGACCAGTACCTACCCATATAAATGATGTGTAAATACAGCAGATGGTATTGCAGGGAAAGGAAGGGAAGAAAAATGATGTAAGCATGATTGGGACGTAGTGCAGACAATAACAGCAGAGTGGAAGAGAGCAGTGCAGACAGTGGAAATGGATAAACAAATTGTGAAAGAAGTTACAGTATACAGTGTAGAAAAAGCAGTAGAAAAAGCAGCAACAAAAGTCTGTCACAGAAATTGAGTAGAGAGCTAGAACCCAGAGCTGTAGTAAAAGAGAAGGGGACGTGAACACTGCTGGTGAACAACATGTGTATTTAGTGTTTGCAGCGCAAAACTCCAGAAGAGATTAGATCTAAGAGGTGCAACGAGCGGTGACACAAATGTCATATTTGTTTGGAAGAGAAGATTATTGTAAGCAGAAGACCTTTTTTAAAGATTTTATTTATTGATTTTTCAATGTTTTGGTCTGAAAAATGTTGAAAGAGAACTGATCCAGCAGCAACAGATGACAGATTCAGAGCAACAGATCATCCAACAGTAGATCATCATTGTCGTGCTCAGTTTGCTGCAGAAGGAGCCAAGACGGAGCTGTATACTTGTATGTGCCAGCTAAGGGGAGCTTACAAGTTACATTAAATCTGTGGGCACATAGAGTATATTTAACTCACAGCATGATCTGGTGTGTATGTGCAGCTCACACATCATAAGCTGAAAATCATTTGCAAGCCTAGAGGTACATATTTGATCAATATTGTTCTACCTGTGAAAATTTGCTACCGTGACAGTATAAAGCATGTCAGCCACGCCTCCCCTCTCTTCTACATAGTTTATATAGAAATGCTCATGTAACTTGAGTGTTCTTGTTTATGGCTGAAGCTAGGAACCAACTTTGTGAAGATGGTCAGATTTTGCTTGCATAACTGACTATTATCTGAAGTTAGTGACTAGCTTCATTGTTGTGGAGAAAAAAAAAAAAAAAAAAAGGGCAAAAATTGCATTTTTCGCATTGCCATTTTTCCGAATTTGTGCACACCTATGTATTTACCCTAAAATATATTCAATAAAGTCTGATGATTAAATTATATCACATTAGTTTACTTTTATATAACATAGTGGTATGGCAAAGCTCTCAAAATAAATATAAGAATTTTACTTTAGGAGAGTTTTTTTTTTTTCCAATGCTAAATTTGAACACAAAAAAAAAAAAAAAAAAAAAAACACACGTTTTTATAAATTGTTAGCCTAACATTAGGATAAGGCTACGGGATTGATTTACTAAAACTGGAGAGTACAAAATCTGGTGCAGCTCTGCATGGTAACCGATCACATTCTAACTTCAGCTTGTTCAATTAAGCTTTGGCAATAAAACCTGGCACCTGACTGGTTTCTGTGCAGAGTTGCAACAGATTTGTTTTCTACAAGTTGCTTCTATGGAGATATCTGTAGAGGTTGGAAGCCTAGGGGTTCACCGTTTCAGCTCCTGGGCTTAGCACTGTTCCCCAGCGGTCACTGATAGCTGACAGGTACAGTGCAACCTCAGCAGGTGTCCGCAGATGGCACCAAGACTGGTCAGTGTTTTAGAATGCCACTGGGACAAATATCTGCTATCCCAGCACCACTTTAAAATGGTGATAGGGATTTAAGTGATTAAAACCTTATAGATATAGCCACTATTACAAACAAAGTATGCATGAGAAATCTTACCGGGGTGTCTTCATCAGGACTACACCAAAAGTCTTCACCTTCCTTCAAGTATGTTCCCCAATCAAACGGCTCATCTTCTTCTACAATTAAACCACACACAATAGCTAGTAAACTTTTTATTTAGATTTCTGATAAAAACTACAAACCAGTTAGGAGGCCAGCTCCACCTGTAGCAAGCTGCAATGCTAGATGGGAATCTGCATGCAATAGTGAAGATAGTAAAATATTGCCTCCTTCCTGAAGGTCCAAATTGCTACCCCACAAAATAATTCTATTCCTTCAACTAGATTAGCAGTTAAGCTCCACCCCTTAGGACTTTATATTTGAAAACAAGACCATGATGATCACAATATTAATGAATGATGAATTAAGAAAAAGCAGAACATCCAGCACATGGGTTTACATGTGTAAAGTTCAAAGAACCATAAATACATCCAGGTACCTGTTTGTTTTTTTCTTGGCTTTTCAACATAATCATTTCTGGATGGAGATTCAGACAGGCACAAAAGAAGAGACAAGATGGCATAGTGGGCACTAGTCTAGAAAAAGAAAAGATCACATTCAGTTTGATATCTAATAAAAACATGCAATAAAGCATCAAAAAGTAGATTTGATTTAAAATTTTCCAAATAAACAAAAGAAAAGAAAATGCCATTGAAGTATATACACCACTGAGAAGATGTGGAGATAACCAACACAACATGAACAAGTTAATCGGACACTGTATAAGACAGTGGTGGCGAACCTATGGCACGCGTGCTGCAGCGGCATGCACAGCCCTCTCTGTCGGCACACTAGCCAAGTCGCCCCAGCAGCCAAGAATCAGATAGCGGCACACATAGGGGCCAATGCACATGCACAGAAAAGAGTAGCGTCACCAGGCGCCGACGTCACAAGCCGCAACTTATTAGCCACGACTCGTACGAACTTTCGCATGGCCAGTCAGTGCACTGCCAGGGGGAAACATATATATATATATATATATATATATATATATATATATATATATATATATATATATATATATATATATATATATATATATATATATATACACACAGTTGCAAGAAAAAGTATGTGAACCCCTTGGGATTACATGGGGTTTTGCATGAATTGGGCATAAAATGTGCTCTGAACATCATCTAAGTCACAACAATAGAAGAACACAGTCTGCTGAACATAATACTACACAAACATTAGATGTTACCATGGTTTCATTGCACATAACATGTAAACATTCACAGTGCAGGGAGGAAAACGTATGTGAGGCCCTAGCTTAATGACTTCTCCAAGAGCTAATTGGAGCCAGGAGTGAGCCAACCTTGACTCCAATCAGTGTGATGATATTGGATGTGTTGCTGACAGCTGTCCTGCCTTTAAAAAACACACACCTGTTTTGGGTTTACTGGTTTCAAGAAGCACTGTCTGATGTGAACCATGCGTCGCAGAAAAGAGCTCTCAGAAGACCTACGATCAAGAATTGTTGACTTGCAAGAAGCTGGAAAGGGTTACAAAAGTATCTCCAAAAGCCTTGATGTTCATGTGTCCACGGTAAGACAGACTGTCTACAAATGGAGAAAGTTTAGCACTGTTGCTACTCTCCCAAGGCGTGGTCGTCCTGTAAAAATGACTGCAAGAGCACAGCGCAGAATGCTGCATGAGGTAAAGAAGAATCCCAGAGTGTCAGCTAAAGACCTACAGAAATCTCTGGCACATGCTAACATTTTTGTTGACACATCTACAATAAGGAAAACATTAAACAAGAATGGAGTACATGGGAGGACACCACGGAGGAAGCCATTGCTGTCCAAAAAGAATATTGCAGCACGTTTGAAGTTTGCAAAAGAGCACCTGGATGTTCCACAGCACTACTGGCAAAATATACTGTGGACAGATGAAACCAAGATTGAGTTGTTTGGGAAGAACACACAACACTATGTGTGGAGAAAAAAAAGGCACAGCACACCAACATCCAAACCTCATCCCCACTGTAAAACATGGCGGAGGGAGCATCATGGTTTGGGGCTGCTTTGCTGCCTCAGGGCCTGGACGGATTGTTGTCATTGATGGGAAAATGAATTCCAGAGTTTATCAAGACATTTTGCAGGAAAACGTACGACCATCTGTCCAACAACTGAAGCTCCGCAGAGGATGGGTGATGCAACAGGACAATGACCCAAAGCATACAAGTAATTCAACAAAACAATGGCTGCAACAGCACAGAATACGCCTTCTGGAGTGGCCCAGTCAGAGTCCTGACCTCAACCCGATTGAAATGCTGTGGCATGACCTTAAGAGAGCGATTCACACCAGACATCCCAAGAATATTGCTACACTGAAACAGTTTTGTGAAGAGGAGTGGTCAAAATGACTCCAGATCGTTGTGCAGGTCTGATCTGCAACTACAGGAAACGTTTGGTTGAGGTTATTGCTGCTAAAGAAGGGTCAACCAGTTATTAAGTCCAAAGGTTCACATACTTTTCCTTCCTGCACTGTGAATGTTTACATGTTATGTGCAATTAAACCATGGCAACATCTAATGTTTGTGTAGTATATGTTCAGCAGACTGTGTTCTTCTATTGTTGTGACTTAGATGATGTTCAGAGCACATTTTATGCCCAGTTAATGCAAAACTCCATGTAATCCCAAGGGGTTCACATACTTTTTCTTGCAACTGTATATATATATAATATATATATATATATATATATATATATATATATATTTGCTTGGACTGGCTGTGATTTTAGCAGAAGCCTTCCACAAGGTAGGAAATGCACTCAAATGCATTTTTCAGAGCAGGCCAAAAGCTGGTGGCGGAACCTTGCCCCCCTGTGCCGGGGGCCAGCGGAACCTTGCCCCCCTGTGCCGGGGGCCAGCGGAACCTTGCCCCCCTGTGTCGGGGGCCAGCGGAACCTTGCCCCCCTGTGCCGGGGGCCAGCGGAACCTTGCCCCCCTGTGCCGGGGGCCAGCGGAACCTTGCCCCCCTGTGCTGGTGGTCAGTGGAAATGTTAAATAGCTGTTTGTATCATTGGAAGGTCTGTCATTGTGTTTTTCTTTTAAGACAAAAGATGTTAATGTACGAGTTGTTTTTTTCTAAACTAAAACCTCAGTATTCAGGTTTAATTGCAGCGTTGGCACTTTGCTATAAATAAGTGGGTTTTTGGGTTGCAGTTTGGGCACTCGGTCTCTAAAAGGTTAGCCATCACTGGTATAAGAGAACCCAT